TTTATTAAGTGAGTAGTAGCTGAAATTTGTTCCAAACCGTTATAGTAGTAATAATTGTAATAATGTAATAATGCCCAAGCTTTTAGGCCTTTTTGAGTTTTTCAGTGACAAATTCAAAATAACGTAATAAGTTAATAACTATTCCTTTTTTCAAATTATACAATGTAAATAAGCAGAACAGTTCGTTGATATAATATTTTATACGCTTCTTTAACTCTGAAATCCTGTTTATGTGCTCAGAAATCCTGGATAATGGTGTCTTTTTTAGTTTTTGCTGTGGCTCTATTTTTATTGCATCACGGCATGGCGAACGCAAATGTGATAGGTTACCGGTGTCCGTTAGTTGTTAGTAGGGCGCCAATACTTCACAGTAGTTCAATTGGTGACGCTCCTCAACTTATCTAAGCAAGTTGTTGTTAAACTGGACTGATGAGAAGACGTTTGAACACTGAATCAGTGAGTGAGTGCAGTAATCGCCAATCGGTGACACTTGCCACTATCTCACAAAAATAAAAAACACTCAAAAAAAAGGGCGTGGGTCCCTTGGGGCTTGGCTCAGGGTCCCTGGCCCCTGCCCCCTGGGCAGCCTTTGACGTCAATTAACTTTACTAAAAGTGGAGCTGGCCAGCTGGGAGTCTGGGACCACACCAATGAGGCAATGACACCATTGTTATGATTGTACCTAGTCTAGTAGGCTAGTACCTAGAGGCTAGACAGTACAGTAGTACTAGTATGACTATTGACTAAATATAGTCATGTGAAAAAATTGAAGATACTAATTCTCCTATATTACAAATTTATTAGTAACTGACATTCAACAGAATGGTTTAATAACCTTCGTACATGTTAGTGCATGCATGCAGAATTAATCGTGTGCAACAGCTAAGGTTGCGGGAATCTAATTATGGTTAGTGTTTACTTGTTAGTTCTCATTACACAATTGGTGTGTGAGGTTACTGAGTAGCTACAGCCCATTAACTGCAGATAAAGCTCCTGAACTTGGAGACGATAATTGAGTGAAAACTTTACATGATATATTGTGAGCCTTCTAAAGTTTTAATAATGAAGAAATCACAAGGTTCACAGAATCTAAAGGTTTGAATGCTAAATTGTCGAGTAAGGTAGTCCATTCTAATCAGTCAATTGAGTCAAGGGTCATGTTGTGCATTGCCTTTTCTTCAAGAAGTTTCTCCTTTGCCAATGAGTTTATCCTCAATTTGAGAGCTGACGTAAAGAATAGGTGCACTAAATGTTTTTTTTTATTTAATTTGAAACCAGTATGTTAAACCTAACCTGCGAGGACTCTCGATTGTCTCTTCTGCTATGGCGAGCACCAGTTTATAAGGCATCCCAGTAGCCGTGATGTTAGGCAGACCAAGAACTTGGTAGCCTGGATGTTAGGCAATACAGCAAAAGTACAGTAAAATTTGACATACTTTGAACAGCAAGAGTAAATAGTATTTCCTTCTGTACTCTGTAGATTCCTCTTGCCTATCAGTGAGTGACGCACACAATTGACAATCGTGGGACCTTCAATGTGTAGCCTGATGTTACGTTCACGCCCATTTCCAAGGCTGGTTTCTGACAGGCGACAGACTACAAACCTGTTTCTAGTTGCCTTGGAATGTTTTTCTTTTTCTGGCAGAACACTTTTTTTTAAGTGAACCACTAATTTTAGAATTCCACCCTGATTATTTGAATAGATGATAATCATCTATGTAAGATTTATAGTGAAATCTTGTGTTTCTATTATCTAGGTATTCCCAATTTTACCAGTAAAAAATAAATTAAACAGCCTATTTATGCCTGTGATTTTGAAAAATTACCTATGAAATGATAATTTTTACCCACATTTTTTACTAAACTTCTGCTTGATAGGGTAAACGCGGTATATTCCGACATCGTGGGTAATTCCGACACCTCTCTAGTTTTTCCTTTATATTAAGCTTCGCCTTAGTTCCACGCATTTGTTGATGGTTGAAATAGTGACGTCATACCTTTGCGAGCCAAACTATTGCCAAAACACTAGGTTTGGGCCGTCTGGCGGGAAAATGTTGAGATCCAAAGAGAGACAGTGCATGCCACCAAGTGAGATCATCGAAAAATGTGTCAAAGTTGATAGTTGACCTTGCTCTACCAAATAGTGATAAACTGTTTGTGTAGAAAGAATATTATGGCTTGAGACTTTTAAATACATCTGTGAATATATTAGGAAATAGGAATCCTTTGGGTATACTTGTATTTGCTGATTTCAAGTGGTTAAATAAATTAATAGATGATTAAGTTAAGAAATTGAATTAGACACATAAAAACTAATTCCGACACCACTTGAATTGGACACACACAGCTTGTTCCAAGCTGTGTGCAAAAATTAAAATTTTCTTAATTAAAAGCTTAATAGCTGTTAATTAAAAGCCTAATTAAGTAGTGTTCAATATTAAATAGTGTTCTAATTCAAAGCCCTGTCGTATTCCAATACAGCTCACACAGCAATCGGAATTCAAACACAAGGATGTCGGAATTACGTAGCGTCGTAGCCTATTAGTAGAGTTTGAAGCGCGGCCATAATTAGTTCCACAACGTGCCAAATTTAGTCACACACAGCATCGGAATATAGGGATTTGGTAGGTTTGCAGTCTAAAGGCTTTTCAATAAATCTGGCAACACTTTGTCAGGGCTGGAAATAATGCGATATCAGACGTACTGATACGCCTGTAATTAAATCCGCAACATGCTGCGTAATTGCAAATATTCACACTAATTCCGCAGGAAGTGTAAAATTACAAGTGAATTATAACTCAATTCCGCACATGTTCGCCGTGACAAAATCCGCGGAATCTCAGCCGGAAAGTTTACGAATCACGAGCAGCAAGCTAACTTCCTGAGAGCTACGTTCACGCTCGCGGTATAGCTCATGGAACAACCATAACTTGAACGCAACGGATGACGCACAACTCTGTGGGCAGCGGCTTTGCAACATCACACTGATTCAAACATATAGTCTCACCGCTCACGGTTCTCAGTGTGTACTGTGTAAGTGACTTCGATCGCTATAGGTCGGCTGGCTTTTGTGCTACTACCAGGAACTTCATAATTTTCAAGAATTTTGGATCTTTCGAACAATCTACTCTATTAAAAAGTGAGTTGATATGTTTTTGCAACCGAATAAATTAATTATATTTGTTCTGAAGTGCTTTCTTGTATTCAAGGAAGAATGAACACATCTGCGGTCCGACTTCTTAAAGTGAAAATTTCGCTTGCCGACACTCCGAGCAATTGCATGCAAAATGCCCCACTTCAACTCATTCAAAGCAGGCCCTAAATTTCGGTATAGCTCCCGTTACTGACTGTCCGCTTCTCCCGTTACTGACAGTCCGCTTCTTCAAAATGGTAGCCCGTATGCTGCAATTCTAAACTTCACACAGGAACACACGGCGGCACACGACGAATGACTGGCTTCAAGGCAGAAACTATCTGTGCAGCTGTGTCTAACATAGGGTTACGCTGACGCATGTTGAAAATCTGCACCGTCACCTGTGCTCTCACTTCGTCCGGCAAACTCTCCATCAGCTTGCAAATGATAAATTTATACCTTTCACCTATTTCTCCAAATGGACTTGCTATGTCTGGTCGGTCGCATCGCGAACACATGAAAAGTTTCACCAGGCTGTCTCATCGTAGTCATAAACGCAGTTATCTTGCCAGTAGGTAAAATATCACGAGGAATAAACAATGAGACTAGGTAGTAGTAGGTTCTGCTTCACTGTATCATAGTCCAATTGATTCGAACACATGGCAATTAAACAGCGCTGCGCATCGCCAATTTAGAAGGATCTCAGCGCAATCAACCACGCTTCACTGTTGTTCACCAACCAAAAAAATGACCAAAGGAAAAAATTACCAACCAAAGAAAAGGACCAAAAGAATGAGCGGCGTGTAGCTCAAACGAACGAAAAATTCCGAAATACTCACACTTTTAACTGTTGGATCGATGTGATACGGAGGATTCATGTCGGCATATGTCGATCTATTCTGAGACATCGCATGAACAAATAAAAACATAAATGTTCACTAGTCTATAAAAAATTATCAGAATCACAGGTAGGGCTACCTAGTCCTTCCCTTCTGACACCAGAAAAAATGTCACCGGATGTTCGCCGCAAACTTCAATCTTTTTCAGAATGTTCGAGCTTTACTACCAACTATCTTGGAAAAAAACACTGATTTGGATAAAATTTCAATCGCTGGTACCTATTTTATTGCGCTTGATAGTTCATTAAAGCTCAAGTTTATACGGATAAACTTGCATTTTATTTCAGAAAAGAACACCTTAAAAGCAACACTATTTGATGAAATTGCTTTTTATGAAATTAAGTAACTATTTGATGAAACTTTCAGAGCAAGAACCACAAAAACTAGCGTAGGGGCACGAGATCGCTAGTGGGAGGTTCGTCTACGCCTAACCTCCCACTAAGGCTGGCGGGACACGACTGGCTACTTTACTAGTTACTTACTACAAGCAGACTAACCCGGCAGCCAATGTCCCGTCTCACAGCCATCAGACCTAACCTCTCACAGCCACTCAGACCTAACCTCTCACAGCCACTCAGACCTGACCTCTCACAGCCACTCAGACCTGACCTCTCACAGCCACTCAGACCTAACCTCTCACAGCCACTCAGACCTAACCTCTCACAGCCACTCAGACCTAACCTCTCACAGCCGCTCAGACCTAACCTCTCACAGCCNGGGGGTGCATACAATCTAAAGTAATGTGCAACCCCGGGGTGCATACAAACTAAGGAAACGTGCAACCCCGGGGTGCATACAAACTAAAGAAACATGCAACCCCAGGGTGCATACAACTAAAGAAACGTACAACCCCGGGGTGCATAACAACTAAAGAATCATGCAACCCCGGGGTGCATACAACTAAAGAAACATGCAACCCTGTGGTGCATACAATCTAAAGAAACAGGCAACCCCGGGGTGCATACAACTTAAGAAACGTGCAACCCTGTGATGCATAAACACAAAGACACATAAACACACATGCACAAAGTTAGACCAGAATCAAGAGAACTAAACCTAAGAAAAAATTCACTATTATCAACTAGTTTTGAATTTCAATGTTGAGTGCAACAAAATCCTAAACTACTTAACTTCAACAAGAAACGGAGCTCAATGACATAAAAAATCCAACTCTCAAACAAGAAGGAAGTTGCTAAAATTTTCTTAACTTCATAAACAGTCGGTGAATTTTAGTTCAAGATTCTTAATTAGTGCTCCCGAAGTCGCTTCACTCGTTTATGCTTATAAAAGACCTATAGTGCTTATAAGAGATATGCCATAGAAACATAATTTCTTACCTGAAGAGAGAGCAACATCAAGCCAAGACTCTAGCATGACTGTGTCGCGGCGGCTGTGAGGTTTAAACCACAGCAACAGAAGAGGGCGTCTCAGCATTGAGGCAGGATTATTAGGCCAAATCCACGAGTCTGAACTGGGTATGGCTGATACCAGCTGCCGTACTCTGGTGCACTGCATCACGTTCATGCGCTTTGACTGCTTCTCTTCTAATGTTCTGGAGTGCTGTACAACCTGACCATAAGATATAATAATTAAATTTATCTTCTGCTGTAAGGTTTGAAACATACATCTCATGGGCTGTACAACCTGACCATAAGATATGTTTAATAATTAAATTTATCTTGTGCTGTAAGGTTTGAAACATGCATCTCATGGTTTAAAACACTAAACTGAACTTGCATTGATCATATCAGTGTAGTAGAACATATGCCATTGTGAAGTCATGTTAATAAATTACACTGACTTGTCATAAGAAATAGACATGGATGCAAATTTAATAAACGTATTAGTGGCAATACTTAAGTCTCAATGGAAAATAAATAAATAGTGCAATAATGCCCAAAATTGATAAATATTATTAATTATATTTACAGGTAAATAACATACCACTATGTTTCTTCAATACCTCCGAGAATGTATGTATTACCTTAGGAACTGGTATGGCAGAATCTCTCAAGTGAAAATTAACTTTCTGTCTCTTGTAAGCAGAGGACCAGAGATCATCTCCATATTCCTCTTGGTCTTGGTGCGCTGCCGCGTGTCTTCTTATGAAGGCATCAAGGCCTGGAGCCATCAAACGGTTGGTGACAATTTTAGGAGGCATCACCATGCCATCATCGTTGACTAAAATAAGATCTGGGCGCATGGTGCTGTACAATCTGCCAAATGATCACATTATTAAATGCTATAGTTACCTCACACAACATACAGCCTTTGGGTACCCACACAGTGAAAGCAGGTTTGCCCGCGCAGGGCAACCTGCTCCAACCTGCCACAAGAATGAACATAGGATAATAATGTAAGTGTTCAAGGTGAAAACCTGTACGAATAGGCCAGCGCCAGGCCTTTTTATTTCAATTTCAGGCGCCAGCCTCAGCAGGTAACCAGCACGCTGGCAACCTGCTTTCACTGTGTGGGTACCCTTATATTGTATCGGGTGTTAGGATCAAAAAATATTTTGTAACTGACCTTCATTTACATCAAACATGATTACAATAACAATATAGGAGAAACTTATAAGCAAACATTCTCACACAGCAATTGATTGCTTTTTAAGAATTGAAAATGCAATTAAATAAGAATTACTGTGATGTTAAGAATTGAGAACAGGCCTATGGCCTAATAAACGCTGAAATCACTATTATTACCGTTAAAAAAAATGGAGGTAAAAGCAAGCTGGAGTGGTAAAACCTACAATTCCTACCCCTCAAAATTTTAAAGCCGTATCAAAATACGGCTTTAATAGTATGTAATAACATTACTTGAAAAAAGTCATGAATGCAACTTGACTGTGACATTTACCTTAACAACTTAGTTATGGGAGATGTTAGACCAGTTTTATTCTTGATCTTGAGTAGAAATTTCACTCGAATTGGCGTGACATCAATACGTCTGGTTAGCTTGTAAACTATGTCAGCACATAGACGAGCCTGCACAAATATATACATCAAATTTAAGGCAACATAGTTTAATGGTGAAGCATTTGCTTGGCCAGAGAAGGAAATATTTAGTTTAAATCACAACAGTGAAAAATGCAACAGAGAATAAATTCAGTAGAATAGTTTAACAACTCAATTTATTAGTACAGCAAGGCACATAATTTGAGACGAGTGCTTGAGAACACAAATGCTGGGGTTACTAGTACACATTATACAGTTGATCTCAATGATGACTTACAAGTTTGAAGTTACCAAGTAGATAAAAACAAGGAACATAACATAACCGCAGACGGATGTTCTCAGTGTCGAGGACATCATACCGCAGCAGAGCAGAGAGCCATCCCAGCACAGTGATAGCCCAGGACCCAATTCCTCTCTGAGTGAGAAATTTATAGTCTTGTTACAATATTTATAGAGAATTTATAGAGAATTTATAGAGAATTTATGGAGACTATAATTTATAGAGAAATTTATAGTCTTGTTACAATATTTATAGAGAATTTATAGAGAATTTATAGAGACTATAATTTATAGAGAAATTTGTAGTCATGTTACAATAATTGATGCTATAAATTAGCTATTGCTTATCATGTATCTTTTATTCATGGATATATCATGTTGAATATTCTAAGCAGGAAAATGTTCAAGCATGATGAGGAAAGTTATATTTCAGAATATACTACACTTACTAGGTATTATTTATTAGTAAATCTTCCTGTAAAATTTATCATTACTAACTGGCTTTTCCAAGGCAATTGGATAGATGGTGCAAAGAACGCATGGTATAATTTCATGTGGAAAACTCTCAGCCTTTGTAGAAATAAAGCTGTACAAAAGTCTACGCCTGATGCTCACACCTGAAACAGTTACAGTCCATTGGAGATAACAAATTCAACATGTTAATGTATACAAACACTGTAGACTGTACTGTATTTCTACACACAGTAGAAATAAAGCTGTACAAAAGTCTACGCCTGATGCTCACACCTGAAACAGTTACAGTCCATTGGAGATAACAAATTTAACATGTTAATGTATACAAACACTGGTAAAAATATCTGAGAAATAAAATTAAATTTAATTAATTCCAACTAATTACTCTACAACTCAGTAGTATAGCACACTGTCACTTATAGGTCACAAATTGTTGATAAATATTCAAAGTATGAACTATGTACACTTTGAAGCAATATCAATAATAAAGATACAGACTACTTCCATAAAACATAAATTCAATTATGCTTCATGATGAAATCAATTACCGTATGTATCAAATTCAGTTACAATTCTGTGTGTAAGAAGCTTCATTTGCTTGGCTTCTAATCCATGTTTTGATGAATGTTTATATACAATTTCAACCATTGCCTTCAGCCGTTCCTTCTCTCCCTGGGTTGCATGTTGACCTGCACATAAGCAAACGCATTAAAACTTCAGTCACATTCAGCATAACTTGGTTTTGACTTAAAATATAACAGGGGTGACTTTGACTATTTACAGCATTTACCTTTTTGTGATACAAATAGTCACATAGTGAATTTATAAAATATATATCTTTATTGCGTTTGTAGATTATCTTATGGTACTTCAAGAGCCATCAACACAATTTTTCTGAGGCAAGAACTTTTTGAGTACTGTCAACCGGGGCTACTCGGGACGATTTCAAACATTTTTCNCTTATTACCCGGGAGGGGAGTCTCTTATTACCCAGGGAGGGGAGTCCCTTATTACCCTGGGAGGGGAGTCCCTTATTACCCTGGGAGGGGAGTCTCTTATTACCCTGGGAGGGGAGTCTCTTATTACCCAGGGAGGGGAGTCCCTTATTACCCCGGGAGGGGAGTCCCTTATTACCCCAGGAGGGAGGTCCTTTATTACTCCAGGAGGGGTGTTCCTTATTATCCAGGGAGGGGTGTCCCTTATTAGTCCGTCTTGCAGAAATGACCATTTTTTTAGGGATGAGCTAAGCAAATTCTGTAAGTCACGTTTTTAAGCCAACACCTGTGTGCAACTTTTATGCAAGTAAAATTTTTTAATACGGCAAATATTTTTTGCTACAGACCTTAACAGAGGTACCTACTTGTAAAAAAGCTCACTTTTCATAGTTTTTTCAAGGAGGTAGAGAATGTATGATTTATTAACTTGTTTTATGCTACACAGATAGGAAAAATATTGAACTTTACAATACTATTTATAGTTTTGCAATATTTCAATTAGTTTAGTTGCTATAACAGTTCTACAAAATGTTGGAGGACTTCCTGATTTACCACATCTATCTCTTATTACCTTGTTTGATAGTATACTTGTTAACTAAATTATAATTTGGCTAGGTATCTTGCTCAAAACCTCTTTCAGAACCAATAGGTCCACTCAGTCCAATCGAATGTATGGTTTACAAAAGTCTAATGATATTAATTGCAGATGTATAGAGCTAGCATGAGTCATGCTACTAATTTGTCATGAAAGTAGTATCCCCATATTTCCAAGCTTTGTTACAAGTGAAATTCATCACCTGAGATGAAAATTTTCAAGTAAAACATGATAACTCATGTCATGTGAATTCCCCTCATACTAGTCTCCTTGCACGAGAGATAATTTGAAGTTTCTCTATGCTAACAGCAGTGAAATCCATGCAGAAACCTAAATTTTTTATATATTTAGGCTAAAATGTAGGGTCCTATGGACTTAAAACCAAATTTTGTCCAGGTCTTTTACTTTCAAATTAAAAATTCAGTCCACCTAACAAAGCTAGTAGCAGCAGCTGCAGCTTGCTGCCGACATGACTGGCCCACCTCTTTTGTTCATTTAGTCATTTTAGTGAGTAACTTTCTTTTGTTTGGGAAGGTGCTGGTGTGTTGTGCTGTGGTGTAGCAGTCCCTAAAGAAGCATTGATTAGTTCAAAAGGTCATCAGACCATGTTATTATTTTATATTACCTATAGAATTGCACTATGCCTTCCAGGCATTATACATAGCAGCAAAAAGTTTTTTAGACTTTCCCCCAAATTCATTTTTGAGTCCCATAAGTAGACCAGTAATTTAATAAAGTATCATGGATACTAGCATTATCATAAATAAGAAATTGATTTAAATCTTGAGTAAATGAGGGAATTAAAAATGTACTGATTCTAAAAAATCTGTAGTTTGTCAGATTGTCATTTCATTTTGCAGGCTGCAGACATAATGGACAACCAGAGATTTTTTAGAATCAGTTTATTTTCTATTGTCTTCATCTTATTAAGATGAAGTGTGGAATTCCAGAGGGGTAATATATTAACTGGTAAACATAGCAAATCAGAAAGCATGACCTACAAATCTGGAAAGGCCAGCAACCCAGCATACTTCACCTTTCAGTCCATCATCATCACTGACAAGTCTCTGTAAGCTGCCACAGCTGTTTCATTGGAATAAAAACAGAACGTGTCCAACGTCACAGTCACATAAATCCAATCATTGCTAGAACGCGTGCAACGTCACAGTCACATGAATCCAATCATTGCTAGAACGCGTGCAATGTCACAGTCACATGAATCCAATCATTGCTAGAACGCATGCAACGTCACAGTCACAAGAATCCAATTAGCATCAGAACGTGTCAAACGTCACAGTCACTGGAATCCAATCAGCATTAGAAAGCTAGAATGGACCACCCCAAATGCACACAATGGTAATGCACTGGTGCGGTGCTAATTTAATGCATAATGCTACATTTCTTATTTCAAGTGCATAATACAATACGTAATGTAGTTATGTTACTATTGATGGAAATCACAAAGAATAACATCTTCACTATGTACATTCACTAACAAATACATGAAAAACTACCTATGATTCAATCCACAAATACAAAACTGATCACTGATGCAATAAGCTGAGACATGGAAACTCCTTCCATTGCGATCAGGAATACCATCCTAACAAAAAAATGTAAACAAAGACGGTAGCAGGGATACCAACAAATGATACATCAATATAGTCATGTGAAAAAATTGAAGATACTAATTCTCCTATATTACAAATTTATTAGTAACTGACATTCAACAGAATGGTTTAATAACCTTCGTACATGTTAGTGCATGCATGCAGAATTAATCGTGTGCAACAGCAATTTGAATAGATGATAATCATCTATGTAAGATTTATAGTGAAATCTTGTGTTTCTATTATCTAGGTATTCCCAATTTTACCAGTAAAAAATAAATTAAACAGCCTATTTATGCCTGTGATTTTGAAAAATTACCTATGAAATGATAATTTTTACCCACATTTTTTACTAAACTTCTGCTTGATAGGGTAAACGCGGTATATTCCGACATCGTGGGTAATTCCAACACCTCTCTAGTTTTTCCTTTATATTAAGCTTTGTCTTAGTTCCACGCATTTGTTGATGGTTGAAATAGTGACGTCATACCTTTGCACGCCAAACTATTGCCAAAACACTAGGTTTGGGCCATCTGGCGGGAAAATGTTGAGATCCAAAGAGAGACAGTGCATGCCACCTAGTGAGATCATCAAAAAATGTGTCAAAGTTGATAGTTGACCTTGCTCTACCAAATAGTGATAAACTGTTTGTGTAGAAAGAATATTATGGCTTGAGACTTTTAAATACGGTACGTCTGTGAATATATTAGGAAATAGGAATCCTTCAAGTATACTTGTATTTGCTGATTTCAAGTGGTTAAATAAATTAATAGATGTCAGATGATTAAGTTAAGAAACGGAATTAGACACATAAAAACTAATTCCGACACAACTTGAATTGGACACATACAGCTCATTCCAAGCCGTGTGCAAAAATTAAAATTTTCTTAATTAAAAGCTTAATTGCTGTTAATTAAAAGCCTAATTAAGTAGTGTTCAATATTCAATAGTGTTCTAATTCAAAGCCCTGTCATATTCCAATACAGCTCACACAGCGATCGGAATTCGAACACAAGGATGTCGGAATTACGTAGGCTAGCCTATTAGTAGATTTTGAAGTGTGGCCGTAATTAGTCTCACAACGTGCCAAATTTAGTCACACACAGCTTTGGAATATAGGGATTCGGTAGGCAGGATGGAATTCTAATTTCGAAGGTTAATATATTATTTCGATCCACCAAGACCACTTTTTCGATCCAACATCGTTATTTGAGGCAAAAAATGAACTTCTTAAAGGCTAAAAACACGTACGCTAACTTGCTCAGTTTCTATAAAGTACCTAATCACTTGGAAGTTGCAAGTCTGCACCTTTCACTCAACAATTAAAATTAGACTTATAAAAAGTATTAGTTAGTTGAAAATTTGTCTCTTAAGTTGACCGCAATGAACTAAACTTCTTTAAGTAATTATAACTATGCTGCAAAGCAGAGTTTCACACACACGCACACTAAACATCATGCACACTAAACACGCAATTCAGAGTTCAGACGAACAGAACTATATATCACGTGGGCCAGCATGCAACTGAATTAAATATAGATAATTCTGAAATCGTATGTCATAACATCTATTGAATTCTATGAATTCTAATACGGATCGTTAATTTTAACATCGTATTTCCAAAAATCAATTATTGCATTTATTTTAATTGAAAAATATCCTTTTACATAAAAAAACAATGAATTTTTTCTTACAGCTCCTCAGGAATGACGAATGAATGCTCCTCATATTGACAAATGACGATCTTACTCTTAAAGCTAAAAATTTTAAATTGAATGATTTTGTCATTTCAAAGACTCCATTGATTACAGAACTTTAGTTTTTGGAAGTGTATTCAAGAAAAGTTTCTGTTGCGTGTTATGTCGATCTAACAGCCGTCGTTAGGCAACGAGTCTAGCCTAATATTTGGTATTTATAGAACGCTCAATAGACGTAGCTCGCGTCGACGTCATTTAAAAAATTCACAATCCTGTAACTTTGAATCAATATAAATAAACTATTACTCTTACATCCTTTCAAAAACTCAAAATGTGATCTTAAGCTTGGGAATGTTCATGTGTTGGTTACGAAAATATACCGTACATAGTATTATTAGGCCTGCTGGAGACAATTTAAAACCGAATAATCCTGAGCACTTATCGTAAATCATTTTAGTCAATTGGAGTCGTAAATACCGCACGTCTAAATTTTATAGTTTATTAAGTGAGTAGTAGCTGAAATTTGTTCCAAACCGTTATAGTAGTAATAATTGTAATAATGTAATAATGCCCAAGCTTTTAGGCCTTTTTGAGTTTTTCAGTGACAAATTCAAAATAACGTAATAAGTTAATAACTATTCCTTTTTTCAAATTATACAATGTAAATAAGCAGAACAGTTCGTTGATATAATATTTTATACGCTTCTTTAACTCTGAAATCCTGTTTATGTGCTCAGAAATCCTGGATAATGGTGTCTTTTTTAGTTTTTGCTGTGGCTCTATTTTTATTGCATCACGGCATGGCGAACGCAAATGTGATAGGTTACCGGTGTCCGTTAGTTGTTAGTAGGGCGCCAATACTTCACAGTAGTTCAATTGGTGACGCTCCTCAACTTATCTAAGCAAGTTGTTGTTAAACTGGACTGATGAGAAGACGTTTGAACACTGAATCAGTGAGTGAGTGCAGTAATCGCCAATCGGTGACACTTGCCACTATCTCACAAAAATAAAAAACACTCAAAAAAAAGGGCGTGGGTCCCTTGGGGCTTGGCTCAGGGTCCCTGGCCCCTGCCCCCTGGGCAGCCTTTGACGTCAATTAACTTTACTAAAAGTGGAGCTGGCCAGCTGGGAGTCTGGGACCACACCAATGAGGCAATGACACCATTGTTATGATTGTACCTAGTCTAGTAGGCTAGTACCTAGAGGCTAGACAGTACAGTAGTACTAGTATGACTATTGACTAGTATCTACGTTGCCCATTTGCTATTGCACTGGTAACTGGTTAGACAGTAGGTACGTACAGAGTAGCCTTAGTAGACACTAGACAGTAGGTACTGTCTACGTCCTACCGCGGGTACTGCCTACGGTATCCTTCCATAGTAAAGACAGGAGAAATGAAAAATTATCAGTGTTTTTAGAGTGGTAAGCCTACGGTTTTTCACAAATCACAATACTTTATTTGACCCCGTAATGAAATTCTATCGCAGAAGGTACTTTTGGTTCTTTGTCCCGGTCTAGAGCTGTTTGCCTGGCCCTTGAACCAACACTAACAGTCTAAACCCATCTCACAACCTGGAATGAATAATCTGACCTCAGGCTCATGGGCCCCTTGCAACCCCTCTCTAGAAACAGGGGGACTAGGCCCTAGGGGAGTTTCAAAATGTATTTAAATAAAAAAGTGTAGATTTGAACTGTGTAATTTCTTAGTTGCTTCTGTTGGTTCCAAAATGCCATAAATAACTTTAAAAATGGCAATGACTTTCATTGGTTGTTCCACCCTTGTGACCTTCTTTCCCTATAGGCTATACTGGCTTCACGAGTTCAGGCCTTTTTTTTTCTCTATCACCTTGTAACTCATGGTGTTGGTACCTACTTTGATGTTGGAAGGTTGACTGGTTGACCCTACTGTCAATATCACTATCAAAATTATTCATAATATCAAAATCCAAAATCTAATTCACGATCATTGGCAACATTTGTCCAGCGGTCTAAGTTGGATTGCTCAGTTTTCAAGTGACGTTTATATTCAAATTTATTTTTGCTATTTTTGCATGAGAGTATTGCATTGCAAAAAGTATTTTTTGCATGTGAGATACTTTGAAGTTTCTCAATGTTTACAGCATTGAAATCCGTGTAGAAACATGAATTTTAAAAATTTTTAGGTGGAAATTTAGGCTCCTATGGACTTGAAACCAAGGCTTTTGATTTCAAATTCACAATTCAGTCCACCTAAGGAGGCTAGCTGCCGCAGCTGCTGGCACAGCTTGAGCTCACAAGTCACAACATGATTGGCAAGTCCCTTTTGTTCATTTTTGGTAGTGTGTAACTAACTTTTCTTTGGGAAGGTGCTAGTGTGTTGTGCAGTGCTGTGGTTAGTGGGTTGGTCTGTAAAGAAGCATTGATTGGTTCAAAATGTCAAAAGACCAAGTTCTTTCCTATTGCCTATAGAATTGCACTATGTTTGAGCCTCATCATTGTGCTGTGCTAATGCATGAACACTATTGACTTGAGCTCTGATTTGAAGTACATTTACAAGGCCAAGTCGACAGTTGTAAAGTGGATATGCATGTCTATAAATTACACTATCAACATTGATTATCAATTCAACATTGAGTGCCTTCATAAGTGAAAAATAACTATGATTTTTGCTAAAATACAAAATTCTCAAACTGCTTTCTCACTCATGATGTTAGTACTTTGACTTTGAAACGTCTTCTCATCAGTCCAGTTTAACAACAACTTACTTAGTTAAGTTGAGGAGCATCACGCTGTCACCAATCAGACTATTGAAGTATTGGTGCCCTACTAATTTACTAACTACATGATGACATGATGTTAGTACCTACTTTGACTACCAACAACAAACAGACAATTGTGTCTGCCAACAAACAAAATTATGAACAACAAACAAATTATGAACAAATTATAACAAAAAATTATGAACCTCTGTGACAGAATGCAGGAAGCCTTCCAATCAAACTTTGCTAGGTTCAAGTGTTGCTAGTGGCTTCTAGCAGCTTCTAGTCCTGTGGCTCCTAGCGGCTTTCCATTAACCTGAAAATAATAAAATGAGCAACAATCATTGAGGAAGCAATTTTTCTGTAAAAATGGCAATTGAAAGTCATAATGAAGTGCAAATATTGCTGGATAAATTGGAAAATTTAGTATATAATGACAATGACTCAAATGGAGGTTTTGCTAAGGATATAATAGTTGATCTTTCAGAATTGTTGAGCAGTGATACTACATCAGCCCACTATGGTGAGTTATTGTTTTTCTTTTTAAAATTGTTATTAATTTATAAGCATTTGTGAGAGGTAAGCTGTGTGATTTTGTTTGTTTAAAATCTGAAATGGTGAATATATTATGATATATGATAAATAATGATATGCTGATGTGATATGTGATGTGATATGATAATAATGATATGATAAATGATATGCTGTTTGGGAGCAAGTCATCAATACCTACTTACCATGTTGAAATATTACCTGTACCTAAGAATTTATTCTAAATGGGGAATGGCATGGCAAAACTTGGAGGAAAGATGTGGATAAAAAATTGACATTTTACTTAGAGGATACTTATAAATCTAATTTAGAAGACATGAAATTTTTTACATGTTAAAATGAATCAAACCACTGTACAAATGAGTTCAAATGCGGGTGGAATATGGAATGGTTTTTTAATGACATACATAAATTTTATGCCTAATAATAGGATTTTGGATAAAAAGATCATAGAATTGTAAAAATTATAGACTGTGGGGAAATGCTGGTTAATCTCCAAATGTAACTAACTTAAAAAATTCAAATTCTTCCTCTAAATATTTACTTGGATACATTTTCTTTTTAACACATTTTGTCATTTATGGAAAAAATGCACTATTGTGCTTGCCATGTCTGTCTGTCTGTCCATGACCTCAAATTTTCGTGGACGAGAAAATGCGCTCTCTGTCACTCACTGCAGTGAGTACTAAGTTATATTTTTTTATATTTCAGATGTACATGTGAGCTGTATATTCTTGTCCTATAATACACTTAGTAGAAATAAAACATATGCCTTATCAGCCACAAATTTATCACTCCTTAACTTAACCTTGATGATCAATTTATTAATTTATGTGTTGAAATGTGCAGCTTGTGAGCGTGTTGCTGTACCGAGGGGACCCTGCAGCTAAAGTGCGCTGTGCTGCACTGGAGCTGCTGAGTGTCTTGCTGCTTCGCTGTGTCTGCTACCTCAGTGCTGACATCCTCAATGTGGAGCAGCTGGTTGTTGACCTCAGCATGGGCATCAGGGGTGCCAAAGTGCCATCAGGTATAAATTCCAATAGCTTTTTCCATCTTTTTAGCGCATTTTCTCATTTATGGAAAAAAAGGCGCTATTGTGCTCATTATGTCCATCCGTCTGACTGTCCGTCCGGGACTTCACGGACGGACGAGAAAATGCACTCTTTGTCACTCACAGCAGTGAGTACTGAATTATATTTTTTATAAAAGTCGTCATAAGGTTCATGAATATTGTTCAAAAATTTGCTAGTTTCAATTAGCAGTCTAGACTTACTAGGGTCACTGAATATGTCAACGTGAAGGGACCAAACTATTTGTGAAATTAACAGAAAGACTTGATTTTGCAGTTGTTCACCATGAGCTGCAGCTACTGGGGCTGCTGACCTTTGCTCTTCCAGAAAAAGCTCAGAGTCAAGCTGTGTTCATTCTGAAGGTGCTTCGAGACCAGCTCAACCGACATGTCAGTCAATCCTGTTTATTTTCTTTCATTTGTTTAGTGAATGCTGACATAATTCATGTTCCCACGAGGGAGAAAAAGTTTTGTTTGTTGTTCCTCTGTTAGAGTAGAACTTATCATGTGTGCTTGATTATCAATTTTACAATTTTCATTAATATAGTAATTTTTTAATGAATCATTGATGCTACATCTCTAAGTAGGCTGCATGCTCATCCTCTTTGATTTAAAAATTTTCCATTTTTGTACATCTGTAATCAGAAATGGCCTTCTTAAATATGGTTACAATTCATGAAATTTTACCACTTGCATTGACGTGCTCTGCTTATTCAAGTATTTACTCAGACTGGTGCTCGCCCTGACCTCACTATTCTGTCTGGATGCGTACGAGGGCTCACATATTACCTGCACCACTTCCCTGATGGAGCTCACGACACTCCAGAGCTTTTTGCTGATCTTTATGAGAGGCTCCACAAGATCATCAACCCTGCCCTGAACCTGCCCAAGAGAGAGGCTCCCAGAGGTGCTCTTGACTGTTGATTGATTGCGTCATTAAAGATTGAACTATTTGCTATTGAGTGGACAAAAGTCTTTTTAGAGAACTTTAAGTAGAAGAATATTTCATTTCTTATAGAATGTTAACATTCATGAAGCCATTTCACATAAAGTCGTAGATAACAGCTAATTTTTCAGACTCAGTTTGTAAATGGATTTAAATAGTAAATTTACCTAACATGATCTGCTTAAATACATTTCATTACACGGTTACAATTTCTTATACTGAAACAAAAGTTCATGTCTAATAATACATTCTATTACATTTAATCTACCGTCATCTGAAGAAAAGTTCCAATCACTTATAATATAAATCAACGAATTCTCTGGTCATCAATCGCACGTGTATAAGTAATACATTCATAAACGTTCTGTTTGTGTCTGCGTGCAGTGACCCTGGAGTTGCTGCACCAGCACGCTGCACGGTTCAGCTCAGAGTTATTGAAGCAGCACGCGTTGGTGTATGCGTGGCTACTGCGTTGGAGCTGCGCCTCCAACACAGATGACCTCAAGGCCGGCAGACGCGCCATGGAGTCTTTCCTTTCTGTGCTTGCTTCTGAACTGGAGCTCAACCCGTCCGACGTCGCGCACACTGCTTTCTCGGTCACTAGTTATATTTGATACTTAGTTATTTAGTTAGAGTTATTTACTTATAGGTAGTTATTTAGTTATATAATAGTTACATTTGATACAGTTATTATTTTCTTAATTAATTGTTTATTTTCATATAATATCTATACTGTGAAGAATACAACCAATATCTTGATGTTGATTACAAAATATTTTTCAATTTATTGTGCAATTCATGTCTCAGTTTTTTGTTATTTTTTATATATTTATATAAGTTTTTGTACATATATTCTATTATCAAATACAATAATATTTGGTTAGGCTTTTATTAATTGAAGTTTATTGACAGCACCTGGTGAATGAGTTCAATGCGCTGCTAGAGAGCGTCAGAGCGTTTGTAAATTTATTTAAGTTTTTGTATGTATATTTTACTTTCAATGACAATAATATTTGTTTAGGCTTTTATTAATTGAAGTTTATTGACAGCACCTGGTGAAGGAGTTCAATGCGCTGCTAGAGAGCGACAAGAGTGAGGGCAACTCAAGTTACTGTGTGAGCCTCGCCGTCCGCGGCTACGGGCTTTTTGCTGGCGCTTGTAAGCAGCTGTTGCCCTCCCAGCAGCTACGCCAGCTCTTCTCTACCGTCCTCACTGCCAGCCAACACGCCTTCAACCAGTCAGCACTTGCTTGCATAAATGTTATATGTCTTATTATGTATCTATGTATCATGTATCTATGTATCATGTATCTTCTCTACCGTCCTCACTGCCAGCCAACATGCCTTCAACCAGTCAGCACTTGCTTGCTTAGTTGTTAGATGTCTTATAATGTATCGTGTATCATGTGTCAAATGCATAAACTCTCAAATGTATCATGTACCTAATGCATCAAGTACCAAATGTATAAAGTATCAAGTGTATCAGGTATCAAATGTATCATGTACCAAGTGTAACAAGTATCAAACGTATCAAATATCAAATGAGAAGCTTACTGCTGCTGGTACTGTTACTCGCTTCTTAAGTGAGCGAGACCCCAGCTCTTGCAGAACTGTTTACTTGACATCTAATTGTATTTAACGAATCTGCTAAAATTAATGTTTGCACCTTTCCTGATGCTTTGCCACTGGATTTAATTTCTTGATTGCTAGTCTTATGATTGCTAGTAAGCTTTAATCTGCATCACTCTCATAATGTCAAGATTAACAATTTTTTCCGATACTCTGAAATATTATGGGTTTCAGAGAGTAGAAAGATAAATCTTTAAATTAAGGCTTAATTGGATCTTTCAAGTATACACATATCCATCGTTATAAGCTGGTTTTAACATAAATTCTTTGTCAAATTGTTTAGATAATATGATTCGATGATTTAAATGATTGTTTTGATTACAAATGATTCTAGATGGAAGTTGACTTGCGTTAGGACAAAAGTATATAGCATGAATAAAATATTGAGAAAGATATTAATGCTGCAGGGCGTCTTATGTATCAATATCATGAATCTATATATCATGTATCTTCTCTACCGTACTCACTGCCAGCCAACACGCCTTCAACCAGTCAGCACTTGCTTCCATAGTTATTATATGTCTTGTGATGTATCTATGTATCATGTATCATGTAGCTATGTATCATGTATCTTCTCTACCGTCCTCACTGCCAGCCAATACGCCTTCAACCAGTCAGTACTTGCTTGCACTTTTTATATGTCTTATGATGTATCAATGAATCATGTATCACATGCATCAAGTACCGTATCAGTGTATCATGTATCGATTGTATGAAGTACTCGTATCAAATGAGAACCTTACTGCTGCTGGTACTGCAACTCGCTTCTTGAGTGGGCTATATCGCCATACAAAACATCAAGTCTCCTCAACACCGAATGACTGCTCATGCAGAACTGTTTACTGGACATCTGATTGGATTTAGCAAATCTGCCAAAATTACTATGCTAATGGATTTTAATTTTAGGATTTGGGAGAAGTCTTAAGACCGCTGGTAAGCTTTAATTTGCATCACTTTCATAATGTCGAGATTAACAATTTATGTCTGGCTTTTTGAATTACCTATCATGGTTATCAGAGAGTAGAGACGCGATAAATTTTGAAATAAGGGTTAATATGATCTTTCAAGTATGCAAAGACTCGTCGTTATACAGCAGGTTTTTAACATGAGTTCTTTGTCGAATTGTTTAGATATGATTCGACAATTTGATGATTTAAATGATTGTTTTGATTACAAATGATTCTAGATGGAAGTTGACTTGCGTTAGGACAAAAGTATATAGCATGAATAAAATATTGAGAATATCCAGTCGCTGGCATCCATCATAAAGCATCTACCTGACGTGAGTGTTAATTAAACCGCTGTGCCCGTGTTAAATTAAATTAATTTTATTAATTTAATCTAACAGGGGCACATTTAATTTAACATTTAAATTAAATGTTAAATTAAATTAATGCTGCAGGGCGTCAGAACTGTTCGACACGAAGCTGGCCAATCTGCCCAACTTCATCCAGTCGCTGGCATCCATCATAAAGCATCTTCCTGACGTGAGTGTTAAGTATACTATAGTCCCCGCCATACCTGCACCTGCCTGTTTAGTTGTGTGTGTTCAGCGCTCACTGCATTTCGTACTCGAGCGTACGCACGTGTGATAGTGTTTGTTCTTAGGTGGCTTGCTGATAAAGGAACCGTCGTGCTTGTTCGCTGGGGAGGTTGAGCATTAAACTCGTAACTTCTTAAGGCCCATTTACACTAGGGGCAACGATATGGCGCTTGCTGCAGCGCCTGACGCTTACAAGCGTTCACACTTATTTTTGTGTGCGGTAGCTCGCGACCGCGCGCTCCGAAGATAAGTTGCTAATTAGACGTCAGTGAGGATGGATGCATCCGAATTTAAGCTCTGGGTCATTGTTCTTGGTGTGCTGCTGTGATAACATTCATGGTCTATATAGGCATTGATGGTCTATAGGCATTGATGGTCACTACAGGCATTCATGGTCTCTATAGGCATTCATGATCTCTACAGGCATTGATGGTCAGCACAGACATTCATGGTCTCTATAGGCATTCATGGTCTCTATAGGCATTGAAGGTCACTACAGGCATTCATGGTCTCTACAGGTTCAATTAAGATCAATTAGCCTCTCTACTAGAGAGTGAGTATTAACAAACGTGACGCTAGTTGACACATTGTTGATAAGGACCAGCGTATACAGACAATCTCGCCAGACCACAGACAGCCGTCCACTGTGTGCAACACTTGTGTTGCAAGAGGCAGGTCGACTGCGAAGCGCTAGCTTGTCAATCGCTTCGTTGCCCGTCTGAAGCGCACGTAGACGCTGCACAGATGGGCATTAAGGCCCTTGACACTGATACCTACTACCACAGACACTGATACCTACTATTCGCGATACCTACTATATTATCATTTAACCACAGACACTGATACCTACTATTCGTGATACCTACTTTATTATCATTTAACTACAAATTGCTAGAGTCGTAATGATGGTTTGTCGTCAGGCTGACAGCGCGAGTGTTAGCGCCGTGCTGGAACTGAGCGTGGCGCTGACGCGGCACTACCCACAGCTGGCCGCCCCTGAGCGCGGTGTCGCCCATGCTGCGCTACTGACGCTCCTCGCCACCTCTACGGCCGCTCCTGGGCTCAGCTGCATCCGCTCTTCTTGGGGTGAAGTATTTATAAAGAAGCGCCTTATTCGGGTATAAGGATGTAATGCTCGCTTAAATTAATATGATATGCTTTCAACCTTACCCTTATACCTGCTTAAATTATATGATGTGCTTGCAACCTTACCCTTATACCTGCTTAAATTATAATGATGTGCTTGCAACCTTTCCCGTATAGTTGGCTAATTTATTGAGAAAATTATTTATTTAATGTATATGGCGTATCACTCCGGTGCTTTCAACCTTTCCCTTATACCTGCTTAAATTATATGATGTGCTTTCAACCTTACCCTTATAGTTGGCTAATTTATTGGGCAAATTATTCGTTTAATGTATATGGCGTATAACTATGTTCCTAAACGCATTACATATAAATCTATCCGTCCATGTTCATTAAATTGTCAATGTTTTCACAATGGTTGTATGATTATTTTTCTGAGTCAATGTTTTCAGAATGGTTGTATGATTATTTTTCTGAGTCAATGTTTCCAGAATAATTGTATGATTATTTTTCTGTGTCAATGTTTCCAGAATGGTTGTATGATCATTTTTCTGTGTCAATGTTTTCAGAATGGTTGTATGATTATTTTTTTGGGTCAATGTTTCCAGAATGGTTGTATGATTATTTTTCTGAGTCAATGTTTCCAGAAATGTTAATAGATTGTTGGTCCAACTACAGTGCACCAGAGTATCCTGCTGACGTGCTCGCATAGTGTCCCTGGGGACGACGCTGTCCCTGCCAGCGTCCCGACAGGAGGCCGGCGGTGGTTTGGTGTCGCGGACGAGCCCGTCTCCTGTGCCAGCTTCTTCCCCCTGTGGCGGGCGCTGCTGTGCCCCACCGCAGCCAGCGCCGTCAAGTGTTCTGGTGAGTGGGTGGTCACCTCACTCCCGTAGGTCTGAAGTGGTATTAAGTTGACCAAATATATTGGTATTAACTAGACCAAATATATTGGTATTAACTGGACCAAATATATTGGTATTAGATTGGTATTAACTAGACCTCAATTGCTATTAGATTGGTATTAACTAGACCTCTATTGCTATTAACTTGACCAAATATATTGGTATTAGAGTGGTATTAACTAGACCTCAATTGCTATTAGATTGGTATTAACTAGACCTCTATTGGTATTAGATTGGTATTAACTAGACCTCTATTGCTATTAGATTGGTATTAACTAGACCAGATCAAGTTTTATTAAATTGGTATTAACTAGACCTCAATTGGTATTAACTAGACCAAATCAATTGTTATTAGATTGGTTTTAACTAGACCTCAACTGGCATTAACTAGACCAAATATATTCAATGAGTAAAAGTGTTTTAAATTATTTTCTGGTTACTTGCCTCGCTAACTTGATGCACAACACATCGTCACTTTAGCTTATTCTCTACATGCATGACATTTGTAATAGATCTCTATAGCTGGGAAATTAGTAATAGATCTCTATAGCTGGGAAATTTGTAATAGATCTCTGTAGCTGGGAAATATCTCTAGTGTTAAGTGTTACATGTGTCACAGAGGTAGCCGTGTCACGACGCTCAGCGGTGTGCAGTGCACTCTTCACTGAGTTCTCCTCAGCAGCGGACCTCATCCTAGGGCAGCTTGACCTCAGCACTCAGCAGCAGCAGCAGCAGCAGGAAGATGAGCTGCCACCACAGGTGCAGCTTACACATACGTTAAAACTTAAGTTCAAAATTTAACAATAATTAAATGCGAGAAGTCCTTTTGAGTAATTGAATCAATTTAACACATACCAAGAACAAGTCACGACCGTCAGTCATACCACCAGTTTTGTAACTTATTTAAAAATTTAACAATAATCTAATGAAACACAATAATCTAATATTTAATTGCATCAATTTATATCCTAGCTTTAGGGAATTGAGATTTAAAGATTATCTAAATTATAAATATTATATTATCTAAACTGACGTGATTTTGATGGCTGGTCCTCTCATATTCGTTATTAATTCTTGCAGGCGTTGGATGCCACAGATAAGAATCCTGTGCGCACTGACGTCGTGCTGGATTTGGTGGCTAAAACTCCTAAGGACTTTCAGGTAAATTGTTCTCACATTGTTTGGGTTCATTGAGTATTTAAACAAGTATTTCCACTGCTTGTTCAGTGGGAAGAAAGACAGACTCAGTTTTAATCGCTTTATATAAATTTTGCTTACTTGTTGGTCAGTGCAAAGCATGCAACTGTCAGAAATAGAATAGATTTGAATAGAAATAGATTTGAATAGAATAGATGCAATAGATTTGAACAGAAATAGAATAATTAAGACTCGTTCATAAAAGATCAACGAGAGAAGCAATCCATTCGTAGACTTCAAATGTGTGTCTGGCCATGATTGCACTAACTAACTGTATATTATTTTCTGCTGAGGGTTTAGGCCTAGATTGTATTAAATCAACTAAATTTTTTGTCCTTAAATCATAAAGGTTTGTATGTACAAATTGGCAATCTTTCATTCGGATGTCTTATCGACATCATATTCTAACATAGTCGGTTTATAATTCAAACAACTACATTACTACATAACAGCTGTAAAAACTCTTAACGTTTACTAACATTTCTCAGGTGTACGACAGCTTGGTAGCCCTGATGTCAGACTGTAACTTTGGCTGCTACATGCCAGAAGTAAAAACTCTTATCGTTAACCAACATTTCTCAGGTGTACGACAGCTTGGTAGCCCTGATGTCAGACTGTAACTTAGGCCGCTACATACCAGAAGTAAAAACTCTTAACATTAACCAACATTTCTCAGGTGTACGACAGCTTGGTAGCTCTGATGTCAGACGTCCCGGAGGCACGCTACATACCAGAAGTAAAAACTCTTAACGTTAACCAACATTTCTCAGGTTTACGACAGCTTGGTAGCTCTGATGTCAGACTGTAACTTAGGCTGCTACATACCAGAAGTAAAAACTCTTAACGTTAACCAACATTTCTCAGGTGTACGACAGCTTGGTAGCTCTGATGTCAGACGTCCTGGAGGCACGCTGCCCGCGTACGAAGTCTGAGGACAATCTAATCAGCCACTCGTCAGAAGGCGACTGCGAGGCTGCGGTGACATCAGCTTTCTGTGTCGTGGCGAGGGCGATCCGCGAGCCGCTGGTGTCGCAGCACTACGCGCTGCTCACGGTGCTGCTGCGCTACCTCCACGCTCACCAGCTCTGGCAGAGACAGCAGGTTTGGGATCAACATAACGGAGTCGTGGAAGTGCGGCAAGACAAACACTATTGAGCATTTCCACGCTCACCAGCTCTGGCAGAGACAGCAGGTTTCCTAGGTTTCCTTGTTGTTGTTGTTGTAGTTGTAATTGCCCATCCTGGTAGTGGCGACAAGGGACGGGGGTGATAGGTCAGTTTTTCCGGGCACTCTGTACCACTGGTAGTTCTACGACCATCGCTGGCTCGCTGACCCGCCAGAACCATTTCCACCCGCCATCCTTAGTTTCCTTAGTATTTGTTTGTGTCAGGTGGTCGATTCTGTGACCACCTGATGGATTTCAGGATTCGTAACTAAGAGTCAGGGTACTTTATTGTTCCAAGTAGGACTAAGGCAGGACAAGTGAAACACATGGTAACACTAGTTATATTATAATAATAAACTGGCTCGGTGAGTACAGAAGGACGGGGATTTAACAGGCTATAAGATGGTGACGTATGATAACCTAGATGGTGATAAAGGATCACCGGACATTTGGGACATAGCAGTCCCAGGCCACGATGGATCGCCGCCTCTGATTATCGTTCATCCGCCCTCATTTGGGCCACCTGATGCACGATGCTGTTGCTCTTTAACATGCGAAGATTCCCAAACACATACAGATACAATTATTCGTACAGTTGAAAAATACTAACTTAGTTGCAATAATAATAATGATAATAATCAATGGCATACCCTTCCATCTTGGTAACCTCCATGCCATTAATTAATAATATTGCAACTATGTTACTATTTTCCAACTGTACGAATAATATTGTCTGTAGTTGTTGAAGAATTTCTGCATGTCAAAACGTTTTGAAGTTACATTTTATTCTGAAAATATAGTATTTTTTTCCCATTACTTGCTGCTTAGTTCAATCAAATCTTAGGCTCAAACGTGCTTTGATTATCTATTTATTGAAGAAAACATTGAAAAGAAATATTTGTACCAATAATTTTGGTGCTAGCTGTATATTCGTAGTGTCCGCAAGTATTGGAGCAAGTAACTTTCCTAGAGTAAAACTTTTATTTGACGGAATCTTTTAACTAAACATCGCTCAGCTGTGTTGATTTTAGTTCTTGCCGTATTTAATTTTCTTCACGTCTCTGAAGATGAGGCGGAAAAAGAGCTAAGCAGTCGTGGAAGCCATTCTTAATCGATTATATTTCTTGTTTTATTCACGTTGTGGCATTGTCAGTGTAAATGGCGTGCACGTTCAATGTTCTAACTTCTTCAGCAAGTTCTTTAACGAAGCTGGTCGATTATGTTCCTTTATGTTTTACAGCACCTGTAGCAATACTCAGTCTTATGGGCACAGTAAATAATTATCATGTCTTCATTACAAATGTTTCTCCATGTATTACATCCACTTGTCAGCTTTTAGATGTTTAATCGTAGAAAATTATCAGTAATCATCTTAATTGTTAGTCATAAATTAATAAATTCAAGCCAACAATTATACTTACTCAATCCAATACCTATGAGCTTTTTGGATTTACGGACTTTAGTTATTGATATTCTGAATGCCGCTCTAATTATTTAGAAAGATTTACAAATTAATAATTAGCTCTTCAAGTAGCAAAAAAGACACACCTAATCAGCATTTTCTTCGGAGTTGGTTTGTTTGAATAAAAGTGATTCAGGTCAAAGCCAAAACACACACTACAAACCATATTGAATCAGCACGTTTTATGTTTGTTTCACTGAGTATGCCTGAGCCCAATAATTTGAATTAATAACTAATATTATTTTCTTACTCAAGGATGTGGCATCTCGTAATCTTGGCGAGCTCGTGGTGAGCTTCGCCAGCGACTGCTGCGAGACGAGCAAGCAGTTCAGCGACCATCTCCTTGCGTCCTGCCTCGCGTTCCTCCTGGCTTTGCCCAAGCCTCTGGCCAGACAAATCCTGCCCCAACTGTCGCAACCCATGCACGTCAGTTGCTTTTTAGCATCTATCGTATTAATTATTAATTTCATTAGAAGCGTGTGCAAAAAAGCGTTAATTTTTGCTCTGAAAATTAAGCTGCATTCATTTGCCTACTTCGACTTAGGTAAGCAGTTTTAATTTAAAAACCTCTAACAAAACTGTGAAGTACTTGTTTTCTAACCTCTTGTTCGTTTCGTTCACAGACTGCACTGGCGATGGGATTAAGCTTCCTTCCCGTGGCGCTCTCGGCCGTAGCTTGCCTACAGCGTCTTGTTGATGACCTCGCCTTCAGTCAAGACGGTCAGTAATACGGGCTCTTTATAGTTGCAACGCCTTAAAACATTCGTACAAAGTTATTTTAGGCCCCAAATTTACATTCAACACATTTGTTTTTAATTGTAATCTGAAGTAAAGTTATTTGAGTTGTAAATTGGAAGCTTACTCTGCTGACGCCGAGCTGTAGAAATGCTAAGTCCCTTGTCAATACCATGCTTTCCTCCACTACAAAACATCAGTTCACTGAACGGAGCTTATGTCGTACGAGGAATTATTTGAATGTCCTGATTGCTGTATAGGTAATTTTCATCTTCAAAATGGACCGATTATAATTATCTGGGCAGAGAAGTACAAGGCCAACATCCGCGGGCTGGTGCAGAGTGTGCTGCCAGACTTGCTGACGCACGTTCAGAGCCCTCAGAGGGAACGTTCTGAGCTCCAAAGTCGTGTCATTAACGTTAAGCTGTCCTTGCTTAATCAGAGACGTCGAGTCGACGTAAGAAAAATGAGAGACGCTCGATGTTCAAAAGTTAGCCCCTCGATAGACTTGGAACGAAACGTGTTGAAATTGCTGGGCAGTCTGGGACCAGACGTGTGTTCAGCATTGTCATCTGAAACTGGCTCTGTAGCCAACACTTCGTCTGAACCAGGCATAGCTGTTGAAGACACGGGTATTAGATGGGATGAATGCGATCACGTGGCTTTGAAAATACCCTACGAGCACTCTACGCTTGACCTGCATCTGGACTCTGCCCTGCCTCGTATAGCGCATCTTGCGCTACACGCCACCAACAGACAAACTAAAGTTGCAGCGGCCGAGCTGCTCCACTCCGTTGTCATCGTCCTTATTGGATCGGGTGAGCCACGATATTCCGTTCACCCGAACTCCTGACGACCTAATTGTTATATGATAATCGTTACTCGAAGACCGTAGACTAAATAAATCCATGCGATTTTCTTTCACGTGCCGAGACAGTACAATGCGGTCTTTGTTACGGTTGACTTACTATTAAACTATTGAATCAACTTTATTTTTTTATGGCATTATCAGAAATTTACTAAGCTCGCTTGTTCGTTGTTTTTAGAGGTTTAGTGAAGTATTGCATACTCAGTACTGTTAATTATCTCTAATATAATTCGTGCTCAGGACGGACGGCAACCCGACCAAGTGCCCCCGTCTACCGTCACTTGTTTGCCGCCTGCCTGCGCCTCGCGTGCGATGTTGACCACGTGAGCCGCCACCTCTTCGTGACGCTCATGATGCAGTGCACGCACTACTTCTCCAGCAACAGGGGCTACGAGCATCCGGACACGGTCGCCCTGCTTGATGCCATCATGGTAAGCCATTGGCTCGTAATGACACGGTCGCCCTGCTTGATGCCATCATGGTGAGCCATTGCCATGATGCCATCGGCTCGTACTGTAGCGTCAACTCGTGTTACGGTCAAACTGGCACTGCTGCTTACTGCCATTGTAAACTGAAGTATATTGTTCCTTCAATGTACTCTTAGTTTATCTCAATGTGATGATGTTCGGTTGTTCCGACGATATATCTTATTTACCGGTATGAGTGTCTATCGCATGAAGATATTTGAATGAAATATTAGCAATTATGGTGCTTCCATCTTGTTGAATTTACCTGTAAGGAATCGAGTGACTATCTACTCTCTCTTTTCAATATGAATATACGTATTCCATTAATAAATAAATAACGAAGAAACGTTACAATAAAAGCTCATTGGTTCACAAAATAATGGCGCTGGTCTTCGAAACGTTCTACTAGAAAATATGGTGACTTTTTAATAATTTTTTTATATCTTAAGTAAAAGGTTATGTGGCGATGTACGAAATATTAATATTCATATTTTTATTTTGTTCGAGTTTATTGATATGATTGGATGACAATGTTTTAATCTTTCACTGTTCAGTCATCACAGCATCAAAATTTATGGCCTAGTGTTGCCGCATCCACTTCTCATTTGATCACAGTTTTGCTACTCCTCATTATAGAAGTGTAATTATTTTAGCCTAACCTTGCGTTGTGTTGCAGGAAGGCCTGGAAAGTGTGAACAATCCCGCGCTGCGCGACTTCTGTGGTCGATGCTTGTGCGAGTTTCTGGTGTGGTCCCGCAAACAAAATGTCCAGGTATGTCATGAAAATCTTGATTCAATACTTTAATTTATGATAAATTACTTGAACTAAATAACGTCTAATCCACAATTTAGTGAACAGAAATTTCGCCTGGGATTTTTTTGCATATAACAGTCCGTACATTGATTCTAAGTTGCCTTTTATATCGATGCCTAAAATTATTTGGCGACAATAGCCCATGAGATTAAGAAGAACTCACTGCAGGTAGGGTAATGTATGTAATATTTAACTGAAGTATGTAAAGGCACGCACCTCGAGCCGCGCCACGGGTTCTGCTGCCCACGCTGACGCGGTGCACCACAACCTCAAGAGCGTCATGAAGAGGATCATCCATCTGATGCGCCACCCCAGCGCCTTCAAGAGAATTGGTGCGTCTTGCTCACAAATAGCATTTCGAATTACCGGCGAAAGCTAATTGTATGGAATTGCTAACATGAATCAATAGCATTGGTGTCGAAACGATCTTCGCGATTAGAGGTTTTACACCACGCTATAACAGAGGCCGCGAGCCTTCTTGTTTTTTTAAGAAAATACATAAATTCGTGTCACGAACTTTTGGTTTATAATCCCGAGTTCATCGACACCAAAAAAGTCTTTATATTTATTTGGTTACAATGTTTGTCTTCTACTTTTGACCCTGTAATGTCCCTCAGGCGGGTGCGTGGCTTTCAACGCGGTGTACACGGAGGTGCGTGAGAGCGAGACGGCCGTGAACGTGTGGCTGCTGGAGCTGTTTGCTGCCGTGGCCGCCTGCCTCACGCTCGCAGACAAGGACCACGCCGCTCTGCCTTGTGCTGCTCTCGCCTCTACCTCGCTACGGCATCTCTGTCGTATAGCCACCCACTACAAGAACTTGTTCAATGCTGTGAGTTGCGTCTTATTTTACACCGGCAACTCTTTTGGTTCAATCCCGTGGCCATACTTTCAAAACTCGCTAGGTGAACGTAAGTACTTACGCTCTATTTTCTTGTCTTTGATTGGTGGATTTTGCTTGAAAGGTCGTCAATGATTGGCAGACGAACTTACGATCTCTTAACTTTTTCTGAAAGTATAGCCCCTGACTTCGAAGATTGCGAGGTAGGATCACTTGCCTTCACCTTATCCTTCGTGTGACGTACAAATGTTTTCATGGTACTTTGAACCCATCCCTGAATCCTAATCCTCTTCCTGAAAACCTTTTTATTCTGTAGCCTTTTTTATTCCCCGAATTTTAATCCTCTCCTTGAAATGCATTATTGTTCTGTGCTCCAAGCTGATTCCTTGGAATCCTAATCCTCTTCTTGAAAAGCCTTTTTAATTTCCAACCTGCTCCTCTCCTGTTGCACAACTTCCCCACCACCCCAGCGGTCTGAGATTAGCATCCTTGGTTCCTAGTCTTCCTGAATTTTGTTCTGTACTCCAACCTGATCCTCTCCTATTCCACATCCTGACCTACCACCCCAGCGGTCTGAGATGAGACGCATCCCTGACTGCCTGACGGGGAGCGACGGCACGCTCGCTGCCCTCACCGAGTGGATGCTTCGTCTGTGTGGCCACCGCGCCTCTGCGTTGCGTCACGCTGTCACAGCATCGCTGCCGGGTCTTGCTTCTTCTGTGCTCGGTGAGGTTACGTTTGTGTCTTGTAACTATTGTTACAGCATCACTGTCACAGCATCACTGTCACAGCATCACTGTCACAGCATCATAACCCCTGTATTATTTGTGTGCCGATTGTTAGACTCAGATTGTTGTGTATTTTGTTACAGGTTGCAGTAACCTTCAAAGTTTGGTAGACCAGCGATTTATCAAAGCAAATCGTCTGGACGTGCTTGTGGGTGAAGTGCTCGAGCGAGGTGGATGCAAGGCGTTCGCTCCTGTGATTGGGTCCGGCGATATCTCCCCATCACCCGCTCATCCTAAAGAGTGGACAAGCTTCTTGGAGGTGCTTCTTAATCTTTTAGGTCATCACTTACTATGACTACGTGTAACTCTTAACGCTCGGCTTTGGTATTGTCATATATATAATCATATAATAGGAATTTTGGTCCATGTAAGCTAAAGTGGTGTCTATTATAATTACAAGTTGTATTTCGGCAGCTATACAAGGTTTTCCTAAATGATGGACCCAATTCATTAAATTTGTGTGTACCTAAGTATAGGTTCAAAATAAATAATATATACAACGATGGAAAGGGAAAGATTCAATTTTTTACTTATACGGCGCAGTGCACCCTAGCAGTGATACAGTTCTTCAGATCAATAGGAGTTGCTGGTAGAGGCGGGACGTAAACAGTTTTCTTGACGTAACCCCATAAGAAATAGTCACATGGAGTGAGATCATGTGATCTCGGTGGCCTGATCTTCATTTCCTATGCGTCCTACCCAACGCTCAGGAAGTGATTGATTCAAAAAGTTTCGGGCATCAAGATGCAATTGGGGCCAAGTTGCCAAACGCAATTCTGCGTTTGAATAGGTTACAACAAATTTGAATCTTTCTATTTCCATTGTATAAATGATTTATTTTGAATATATACATGAATAAATACGAATTTATTAAATTGGGTCCAACATTTAGAATAACCCTGTATACAAATACCAAATTCTATTTTCCACTGGTGCTCATGACTTGTTTTGCAGCGCCTACTGGCATGTCTGGAAGGCAACGTGTGGCTCATCGGACATCGGCTCGTACCAAGCACGGTGCTGCTCACCCATCGAGACTCCAACCTTCTGGCTGCGCTACAACTATTCTTACTCAATGTTGTGCCTGAACCACGTCATGTTCTCTCCTCTAGCAAGCAAGTCAGCAACTGCACTCTCATCGTCAGGCTCATGGATTTTATGACAGTCGTCATGAAAGACGTGAAAGAAACTTCGCAGTCTCTCCTTGCTTCAATTTTTTGTCCCAATTTCCGCAAGATTTTTGTGACTGCTGTGTTGGAACCTGCTAGTGTTGGCTTTGATTTGCGAGACACTGAAGTCAATGAGAAATTATTACCCAGACTTGTGGACACACTGCAAACTTTTCAGCGATATCTTAGCCAAGAGCAGAAATTAGTTTTGCGCAAGTCCATAGACAGCCTGATGAGTGGAGACAATCTCCGTCTTTCAACTCTCCTGCCACTTCACTCCTCTGCTGTGACGTACGTGGCGCCACCAACGCGTCACTTCTTGCAGGTACAGACATCTTAACGTCGCTGAATAGTTACGTGGACAACAATGATTTTACACGAATATTAAATTGCATCTCGCTAAATGCAGCGGGAATTGGACCATATTATGATACATGCTGCCATGTTTTGAGTCAACTTGTCCAGCGACTCTTATTCCCTAGCGCGAACTCGGTCTCATGATATACAGTTGAGTTTCGAAAAATCTTAACATTCAAGTTTTTTTTTCATGCGAACTGGAATTAGTTTAATTTATGTGCAGGGAGTGGCAGCTTTACACCAAACTGAGTGGCTTGACTCTCTTGGTAGTACCGACGATCTAGCGCGTCACGTTACACGCTGGGCATCAGATTTTCTCATCACGAATCCTAGCCGTTCTGTTGCAGCCGCTTTCGCCCCAATTTCTCATCAAATCACGAGCTTTGCTTCAACTGCACTGCATGTTGCCTTGCAGTTACGTGAAGAGGTGAGTCTCACCTCGACGGGTGATTATTTTACTGTGTTAATAGGAAGGGAAGTACGAAGAGTCTGTCTGTCCTGTCTATTCTCGCTTACAGTATGAAGAAAATTCATGTAATAATATCGTTCTATATTAATGCAGCAAAACTGCATAGTAAACTTGCTTCTTTGGATCTTGCCAAAAATCAGTATAACTGCCAGTGCTATTTATTCATAGTAGTTCCAAAGTACTGATGTACGCAGAGGTTGTGGTCTGATGTCTGGTGTGAGGAGGGGGCGCTGGGTGGGAATGGACTGCGTGGTGGATTGAGAAAATGAAGAAAACCTGGGAATGTGCCTCGATTGCGTTTTTTTTCTTCAAATATTCACATTTTCGGCCTTGTTCTACCAGCAGTCAATTTGAAAGAAGGAAACAGTTTCAGGATCCATTCCAACAAGAATTTAAGATGTCACTTTAAAAACCGGAATAAATCCTAAAGTTTTGGTGTGATAATTTTGGGATCACTCCGAGCGATTCATATGTTTGCATCATCTTAATAACATTTGTATGGCCACTTACCAATGATATCCTTGGTTTAATAATAATAATAGCGGATTCAGCGTTTATTAGGCCGTAGGCCTGTCGCCGGTTTTTAACATCACAGAACATTCACAGCTCGTTTCGGTTTCAAACTCGCAACTCACTGCTACAATTCTGCTGTGTTTAACCGCCCGGCCTCTTAGCCGATTCTGACCAGAAACTGGCGCACAGAGCTGGGATCGAACCCGCACCTCTCTACTCCAATCTTGGTACTCTGAACTGTAACCACTGGGCCACCCTGCCCAATGTGACTGCCTAACTTCACGTGTTGAATCACATCGTTGATTGACTCCCCATTATCATACAGACTGTGAGTGAAGTGCTGGAGCTGGTGATTGCTGCTGGTGACGAGCCTCTAGTGCACGCAGACGCAGTGATGACGGTGCTGGTGCTGCGCTGCAGCTACGCTGTGCAACGCTGTGTTCAGCTCGCCCAGGCTGGCGGCTGGAAAAAAGCAGTGTTGCTGCTGCTGTCTCTTGCCAGGACCTTGCTTAAAGACTCGGCTTTGCGCAAAAAGTGAGTTATTTGATGTAGGTACCGGTAATTATTTTGTTGATATCGCAGGGTGACTTTTGTGTATTGAAATTGACCCAAGACTCAGCATAATCAATAGAATTAACGAAATAAATTTAAGAAGTTAGTCAACAGATATGTTAACAGTTAATACTTTTATACAATTATTGTCGTGACGCACGGGGTGACTTTGTTGTTTTGAAATTAACCCAAGACTCAGAATAATCAATAGAATTAACGAAATAAATTTAAGATGAAAGTCAACAGATATGTTTACAATAAATACTTCTATATAATTTTTGTCATGGCGCAAGTCATGTAATTCAATCGCAAGTCATGTAATCGCATTCAATTCAATCGCAAGTAATGTAATTTTGTCAAGATATGTCAACAATTACTAATACTTTTATATAATCATGGTCATGACGCAAGGCTTTATTCTGCACCTGGATTCTCATGCTTAGGTACTCGGAGGAACTGGTGCGAGGTGTGGAGACGACCTGGGGGACCTTAGCCACGTACGGTAGCACCAGCGACCTGGTGTCGCTCATGATAAATGATGAAAATCTGGTGCTCAGGTACTCGGAGGAACTGGTGCGAGGAGTGGAGACGGCCTGGGGGACCTTAGCCACGTACGGTAGCACCAGCGACCTGGTGTCGCTCATGNCTCGCTAAGATCTTCTGCCACGAGTCTAATCACAGGTACACGCCAGATTTATCTGTAGATTTTATCGTGTGTACCGTGTATCGTGTGTACCGTGTATCTTGTATACCGTGTGTACCGTGTACCGTGTGTACCGTGTATGCGCTTCTGTTGCACCTCGCTAAGATCTTCTGCCACGAGTCTAATCACAGGTACACGCCAGATTTATCTGTAGATTTTATCGTGTGTACCGTGTATCGTGTGTACCGTGTATCTTGTATACCGTGTATCGTGTGTACCGTGTATCTTTATCTGTAGATCTGATACGAGATTTATCATGTGTATTTTGGTGATTATTACAATGTTATTGCATGATTATATTCTCAAGTGTTATCAGTAGGTACCAATCCTAATCAGGGTTGATGCAAAGTTATCAGCTACACTCGTTTATGGCAAATATACCTATTCTTTGAACCTCATCTTCTACTATTATTTGACATAGCATTCTTTAATAAAAATCATTTTCACCAATGTGGCATAAAAAAAAGGAACTCTAATAGTTTGTTGATCTGGTCACATTGATGAAATCATTTTCACCAATCCCCACTTGACCATCCCTGGACCAGGTATAGAGATGAAAATGATAAATATAAATAATAAATATAAAGATGTACTAATTTTTCCCGGGACCAGGTATAAAGATCTGCTGGAGAGCAGCATGAGCAAGGTGATGGCAGGCGTGGGCACAGAGGCTCAGTTCTCGCTTGCGTCCCGCGTCTTCCAAGTCGTAGAGGCTCAGGAAGCATCAGGCCTCCAGCTGCACCGGCAGCTTCTGAACGAGCGCGTCTTACTTTCTCTGCTGAGAACTGCTGATGTCGTGAGCGTGGAGCGCTTCTTTGAACGTCATCTCAAATCTATCATGAACCTCTTGTCCTGCTCTCTACCTTCGCGCCCCGAACAACAGCTCTGCGTGTTGACTGGCAAACTCGCCGCACTTCGACTTTTGCAAGTACGTGATGAGTATCAGAAGGCTGTATTGCTGTTTATTGAAATGTTCCTCATTTATTTTATTCGTTTTTTTAACAGAATGTAATTCTATAGTTTGAACAGTAAAATGACGAGAATTTCATATGAAATCAACTTTCAAATTGAATTATTAGCGCATTTTCTCATTTATGGAAAAAATGCACTATTGTGCTCGTCATGTCCGTCTGTCTGTCTGTCCTGTCCGTGATCTCAAGTTTTCGTCGACGAGAAAATGCGCTCTCTGTCACTCACTGCAGTGAGTACTGAGTTATATTATTTTTTTATTTTGTTTCACAGCTGCTGTATGCCAAGCTGAGCCGTGATCAGTGCTTTAGCTCCGCATCTGCCGTGAATGCCGTAGTGAACCCAGCGGACGCCTCGGGAAAGGAACTGACGAAGGAACTTCTGAAGCGAACTGTACGCCTTGCTAAAGGCGAACTCCGACACGACACGACTCACGCTGAGCTGCGACGCTTGTGTGCCTCAGCTGCGTATTCCCTTTTGATCGCCATCCTCATCAACGTTCAGGATGATCTCAAATTCTACAATAATTTCCTTTTTGTTCAGAACACTGCAAAAGGAGAAGCTTTGTGGGCTTCAATGATCGACGTAAATCAGAAATTAGAGTTTGAAGAAGAAGTCGGCGTCGCAAGCAAGAACACGAGCCGTCTCGTGGCGGTGCGTCAAGTCCTCTCCAAGTCCGATGCGGTTGCCGAGGCGCGCTATCAACCAACTGTGCTCATGTTCAAGTCCAATTACCTGGCTGACAGTAGCCTCAGTCAAGACCTGAGTCAGTATGATTTCTCATCAGCTCTCGTCTTATCTTTGGGCGAGAAAACTCAACACTCCAAACCCAGAGACATAACTGAAGGAACCTTGCTTCCAATGACTCTGGAAACGTGTGATTTTAACAGCCATGAGGTAATGCCTGAATTAACTGCTGTGTTGCATCATATTCACAGATTAACTGAGGATAAAAGCCAGTCTTCGCCTCCTCTCTGGATGACAGAGATTTTGAAAGAGCTTAGCAACTCTAAAGCACCTCGTAATGTCCGGCTTTTCCTTCTTAGGCTCCTAACCAACACGGCCCAATTGTTCGCTCCGTACGCGCGTCATGCTAGTAGAGCTGTCTTACAGTGCATCACCGATGGCACCACTGGCGTTGGCTTTAATTATTTTTTGGCAGACTTGGTAGTGTTGCTTGTCGGATGGGGTGTAGATGGAGCACCCAATGACCCCGATGATAGTCCACTTTTGGCAAAACTTATGTGTCACCTCATTACTTCGCTGCCCCATCTCAGGGCAGACGTGTTCCGCTACAACGTCGACCTCCTTCGAAGCCTCGTATCAGTTTGGTGTTCGGCGTGGCCCACAGTGGATGGAAGTGCAATAATAGAGCTGCTCGAGACGCGTGAGGGACATAAGCGGGAAGTTGATGCCGGATTGCACGCTGCAGCCTGTCTGCTTGTGGCCGGCGTATCGCCTTACAACGAGCAAGATCGCATGCAGGAACGTAAGATGCATGGCGTGTTATTGAAGTGTCTCGCTAACCCTCGAGCAGCTGTTTACAACGCTGCTTCTGAAGTTGTAGGTCTGATGCTCGCACGATCCATGACATCGAGAGGAGGTGTGGGTGATGCTGTGCCCAGCAGCAGCAGTGACAGCCTCACCAGCGAGGCCACTGTTGGTTGTGATGAGTTCTTCGGTGATGTTGTTGCCTGTGTTATGGACCTCATAAGCAAGCATCAAGCTCAGGGTCTCTCGGTGCTTTATCACATCCATAAGCACTTCAACACTATTGACAACCGGTCAGTCATCTATATTTTTTTACATTTATATTTTTTCCCATGTCTTGATATCATTCCAGGATGCACTATGGTGGTTTGTTTCAGATCTACAATTTGTTGTGCATTAAAATTTCTCAACTTGAACGAATAACATGAATGTTATATTTATGACATGTATATATTAGCTATTACTAAAGTGGTTTCCATTGTATAACAACCGACTTCTATTGACTTGCATTGTGAAAAAAGCCATTGCTGATTCTATAATATTTGCAGGTTTACTTCGAAGCTGCTGGTGCTGCTGCCCAAGCTTTACGGCTTGCAAAAAATGCGAGCTATGGAGTGCCTCATCGCTCCTCTGTCTACGCATCCCGACTGCTTCCAGCACCTTCAACAGCAGCGCATCACAGACGCCCTACAGATCAGAGAACCCGCTACGCAGCTAGTTCTTCTGCAGCTGCTAAATTCTTCTCTGACTCAGCTGACGGCCAGCCAAGTTTTAACGTTCTTACCCTTTCTAGTGAGCTTTCTAAAACACCCGGTGTCGTCTTGCCGCGAGGTAGTGTTTACGTCGCTTACTTTTCTACACGACCGTTACCAATGTGAAAGTTCAGAGGACCAGAAAGAAGTCTACTGCACAGTGCATGATGCTCTACTGCAAGCGGTCGCAGACGAAGACACTGAATTACGCAATTTCATTCTTGACTACTGGACGCGGAGGGCTCAAAGCCTAAGTCCTCATGAGCTGCTCGTTTTTGTTCTTCGTGACCTATACAGTGTAAGCAGTGAAGATACGTACTTACACACAGTTTGCCATGTATTGCTGCAAATCACTCACTCTTCGCCGTCTTATGCTCGACCCTTATTCGAACATCCTCTGACTGACTGCAAGTTCGTAGAGATGAAAGTTTGTCCGGCATGGCGAGCTCGTCATGCGTCAATGGTGCCTTTGTTCAGTAACACACAGAGCAGCGCTGACTCAAATGGACCATCGCTATCGCAGTTGGTTGCTTTGACTCAAGGAGGCGAGGTTGGTCATACTTTGGCTGCTATTGCCGCCACTCAACAGCGACAGTTTACGCCAACTCAGGCGGCTCCAGAAACACTTGGAGGAACGTTTGATATGGGAACGGATGCGTCGATGCAGGAAGAAGTCTCGTTCACTCAACTCCAAGATAAGGCAAATACTGTGTCTCAAGGTTCTGCGGGCCTGGTTTTCTCTTTGAAAACTAATCAAGCCCGTACGTATTCGAAAACTGGACTCGGTAAAACGAGACTAAAGCCCAAAACATTTGGTGATGAAAATGACGGGGATGAAACTCCTTCAGCGATCGTATCATCGCTCGTTCGGCGCCGGTTCACTCGTCAGCAAGATAAGGAACAACAATACAGATACTTTGCGCAGGCCGAAGAAAAGCGTCGTGCGCTAAAGCATCGACTAGAACGAGAACGGACGTTGCGACGTGAAGCTCAAGTGACAATGCTACGAGAGTATCGGGTGGGCGAGTTGCCTGACATACAGATTCAGCACAGAGCTGTTCTGGACCCACTGCAAGCACTTTCTGAGAGAGACAGTTCTGTAGCACGACATGTGTTTGTGCTACTGTGCGAAGGCCTCTTTCGACATGGGGAGGAAAGGCTGTCTGAAACTCAACTTAAGAACTGGAGGGAAGAGATTAGATCAGCTCTAAGCACCCTCCTCGTCGAAAGTGTGCAGAACTCTGCGCCTGTAATGGCAGCCGTGTTGCACCTTCTTCTTAGTGCCAAGATAATGGCTGATCCTAAACTTATCACAAATGCGGCCCTTAGCAGTGGGCAGGAGTCACTGGGTATCCTGCTTCTTGAACAAAATGTTTTAATGATACGCAAAGATGTGAAGTCGTCTCCGCCGCGGAAGAGACAAAAGCGAGGCGTGACAAGCGAGTTAGCACAATCTTCAGAAGACGACGTGCCGAAACTGATGATGCATCTTGCTGAGCTGTACAGCAGCCTCGGAATGTGGGATGCCGTGCGTGGTGTGCTTCAAAGCAGCATGTCTTCTCTTCACGGCAATACTAGAGAGGCGTTACACTGCGAGTCTCTTGACAAGCCACTTGAGGCTTATAAGTTCTATCTGTCTGCTTTGAGCTCCCCAGAAGTAGAGCAGTCATCTGAAGAACAAAAAATTTGGGAAGAACGTTTGTGCGCTACTGCCAGTGAACTTGGCATGTGGGGAGTGCTTGATTCATTTCTGGACCAACGTCTGCTGACAGATCCTGAGAGCGGTGCAGTGGATACCGAGCGGCTATGGCAATTGCCGCGCCCTGCAGCTGCCATCACAGCATTCGTCAACTCTCGAGTCATGAAGCTGCTTTCTAACGCTGAATCTGACGGCGGTCTTCTGCAGTTTGTGAACAATGCAATGAAAGATGAACCGAGGAAGATGCTACTCGAAGACAATGTCAGTTTACAGCTTGGCGTGTTATCAGTTTACCAAGAATCCCCTACAATAGCTCGAACTTTCCTGCTGTCCGCCACAAACGCTTTGGTTGGAAAACTAGGCCATCTATCTCATTTGTCACCCAAGCCACTCGCAGCGGCATTACGGCATCTTCAACTTATTTTGGAAATGGATCAGTATTTGTCCATTCTTCAAGAAAATTCAGAAGCAGGAAAAAAGGCCCTGGCTTCTAAATTGTGCTCTAGCTGGCTACATAACCTTCCTCGAAAGGAAGATGACGCAGTTTTTGCTCAGTTTCTTGCGTCATATCGCGGAATTTACTTGCACTTCATGTCTAAAATGTGTGGACGTGAAATAGCAGATAAAGTTAATGAAACTAAAGCCAACTCTCATATCGGAGTCGTAGAGGTAGCGCTCTCCACTGGAAACTCTTCTTTGGCAACTCAACAGCTGAGTAGAGTGGACCCGCTCGTGAAAAAAGGCCTTCTTACCGAGAGCCTTACTGTCAAGTACCACTTTTTGTGCGCCAACACAAGTATCATTATTGGTCAAAATAAACGTGGCTCAGAACGAATCAAAAGTCTCGTGGAAGCTTGGTGCAGACAACTTGGGGAAGTGGAAAAACTGCAGGAAAGATTCACTTCCCCATTCGTCAACATGGAGTACCTGTGCGTCGAAAGTAAACTCTGCGTCGAGCTATGCAATGCTATCCAGTCTTTGGGAGGAAATTTCGATGCTCAAAACGCGCACCTTGCCTTAGTGGCTAAAAAGTTTCCTGAAGTTCAGAATGATCCTCGTTCCTGGTATCAAAGCTTGCTCATGTGTGCACTCAATGCCCAGGTTCAGGCCTGTGAGCTTTCCGACAAAATCAATTCTGAAATGTTGGATGGCAACTTAGTTTCGTCATATCATATTCAAACTCACGAAAGTTTGGCAGTATTCTGCGAAGATTGCATCAGCGCCTGGTCCGAATCAATACAAGTGGATGAGTACCTCAAGATCCTTGTTACATCGACTCTGAAAGCCATGACAGCAGGATCTCGTGTTTCTCACTTCAATTTCCCGCGCCTTATTCACCTCATGGAGGATCATGCCGAACTTATCGAGGTTTTTCAGCGGGAGATTTCAACCGTTCCCGTATGGCTGTTTCTATTATGGCTACCTCACATATTGATTTATCTGGAGAAAACTCCGGGGCGAGTGTTGCGACCTATAGTTGTTCAACTTGCCGAAGAGTATCCACAAGCCGTCTTTTACCCCTTCTCAGTGAGTAAGACTTGCTACAAGTTCGACGGTCCACACGGTTCTGATGTTCGGGCCACATGTGTCAAAGTTGAGGAAATTCTAGACACGAAGTGCAGACTTCTACAGCCGTTCCTGGAGGCGATCACACTCGTTACCGAGCCTTTTGGGGACGTCAAAGTTGATGTGAGGAATGCCGAGAGACTTCCATCCAGTCAATCAAAAGCGAATAAATTAAAATATATTAAGGAGCAATTTTTTGCAAACGTAACAAGCCTTGCGCTGCAGCAACAGGAAACTCAACGTGGAGCTCAGTATTACCTGATCCTTGACAAACTCAAACTTGTCTTCAAAAAATATTTTGGTGACAAGGGCAGCGAGATGAAGTCTCTCAAATGTACGGAAATCGATCGTTGTATTACAGAATTGCTATCGTGCTGGTCCAGCAGCTTGAATGATGTCAAGGAACTCTCTCCGTGGCTGTCCAGCTTCCAAGGATCTCAGTATTCCGATAGAATTGAAATTCCAGGTCTGTATTCCGGCTTCTCCAAACCAAATGTTGAACATCACCCGTGCATTTCAAGCGTTGACAACAACCTTGTCGTCTTGAAGTCACTACGAAGCCCAGTTGTGCTAAAAATGCACGCTGATGATGAGAAAACGTACAAATTCCTCGTTAAAACTGGCGAAGATCTGCGCACTGACCAGCGGATCGAGCTTATGTTCACTCTCATGAACAACATTTTCGCTCACTCGCCCGTCACTAAGCGCCTGAGCGTTGAAGCGCGGGTCGTTACGTACAGTGTTGTGCCGCTCACGGTCGAACTTGGCATGTTGCAGTGGGTTGATTCAACTGTAACGCTAAAAGATTTCATGGAGGCCGCACTCACAGACACAGAAAAACGGCCTTATTCTAAGAATCTCGTGAAATACGGCGACGGGCTGTCAACTCAGGACTTGCTAAAACAGAGTAAAGTTGATTGTGTGAAAGCCTACTCCGAAGTGGTGAATTCCTTACCATGGGATTTGTTACGTCGCTCTTTGTCTAACCTCGCCAGTAGTTACGAAAGTTTCTTCGTAATACGCACTAAATTTTGCTCGAGCCACGCGGTTCTCTCCATTGCTCAGTGGCTTTTGGGCATTGGTGACCGGCATCTGTGCAACTTCCTCGTCGACTACAAGACGGGTACTATGGTGGGCATAGATTTTGGACATCATTTTGAGACGGCAACTCAATTTCTTCCTCTTCCCGAGCTGATGCCATTTCGCATGACTCCTCAAATTGTGAATGTCGCCCAGCCTTTCACTACAAAGGGCATCATCCGCGAGTCAATGGTGTCGTGCTTGCAAGCCCTCGTCTCAAACAAGAAAGTCATTCTAGCAGCAGTCGAAGCATTTGTCAAAGAGCCCACCCAAAACTGGCTTGAGTTTGTCAAACTACAGGAAGATGTTGTTGATCAGGAAGGGATTCAATCCTATTCAAGTATGCGGATGAAAATCATCACCAAAAAACTGGACGGCGTTAATCCATGCATCATCATTGACTGGGCCATGAACAAAAATCGTCGTATTCCGCAGAACGTAAAGTCTGTTCTCTCGAAGATTATCATGGGCCAGGACGAAGGAAGAGCGTTGATGGCAAAAGAGGGACTGAGTGTACCACAGCAAGTAGACGTTCTTTTGGAGCTTGCCTCGGATCCCAATATACTAGGAAGAACTTATAGAGGCTGGAGTCCTGTGACATGAGCAATCAACGGTCCGTCGTCAGGCTGTGTTGATTGCCGAAGTGTTGAACACAACTTGATGAAGCTTACATACATCATTTGTTGCTAATCATTAAATAATCTTATTATGCTAGGTATTGTATCTATTTTAAATTTATTGAAATGTATGTTCCATCATCGTATACACTTCAGAATTCATTAAATTAATTATTAACCGAAGATTGTCTGAAAAATTTCTAAACGTGAGAGGCACTCGTGGAAAAATTAACGGCCTGCTCCACTTTCTGCGACGAATTTTTGCATGAAGTTGAGACTAATCGTATTAGTTTTGTGTGGCTTGAAGGAAGCAATATTGCGCCGAATAGGGTTGGCATGCGCGTTCGTTCAAACGCCATCATTCAATTGATTTGTGAAGGAAATTTGCCTTGTACGTCCAATTGAGGGAGGCCTGAACTAATTTGTAAATTTTTCTTGATGTATTTTGCCTTTGGTTAAATTTTTACGAGCTCATTCATTACTGGTTTCAGTTTAGTGTTTAGTGTACCAGCATCAGTTTAGGTTTCAGTTCAGTGGTTTATCTTTCACGTGATAGCTGAAATTAGTTTTTCCCCCCAAGTCTTAGGAGGAATCCTTCTTAATGGAAAAAAATGCTACCAACTGTTTATCTTGCGTCGCAATGAACACCAAGAAGATGGAAATGAACGATCAGGTAGACCCCAACAGCCAGGTTTACTCACACTAAATTTACCACGATGACTGCTAATCCATAGAGTTATACCAACAACATATTAGTGGGCTATTAATTAACACGATTTATATTAGCATTTAAAAACATTCCATCGTAAATAACCTAGGAAATAAATTCTGTACATAAACTCCTTGAAATAAAATAGGCATCGATTGAACTCGTGTTGGTGCGACGCTCGTACACCTATTACTTCTGATGCACGTGGCAAAGCTTTAACAAGCGATCTTAACACATTGAGGGCGGCAAAACCGACCAGCGCTGCCAGATGGCCTAAAACGGCCAAATCTTCTGATTGAAAGACTTATAATTCAAAATACACTAGTAAATTTGTAGGTTCCGGAGCAAAAATTAAAATTTCCTTCCTTCCGTAAGTTTCAAAATTTTATGAGGTAGAACTGCCATCAGACATTTTTGTCGGCAAACACAATTGAAAAAAAATAAATAAATAGCGGATTTGTCCGGAAAAAATACCCTGTAACACACCGGTGCGTCGCGCCGTACTCAACGTGTTAATACGAGCTCAAACATGAGAGGCAAGAAAGGACGGTTCTGCCGTACGAATGGCCTGCACAAGATAATCTTACGAATGGCCTGCACAAGATAATCAAAGTTAACCAACGAATGACTTGCACCACAGATACATGAATGTTTGACATCGCAAGGCAACAACGCATCCCTCGCATCAGACGTTCAACAGATATCCCATTTACCAATATACATTTCGCTCGTGACACGAAACATAATAATCTTTAACCTGAATTGACAATTAATGTTTACATTTTGGAATTTTGTTCGATTCACGTAAGTTGTTAGGAACCATGTGTGTGCGCTCATTAAATGCTGCAAGAAAATATTTCTAATAATGACTGCATTTTACCTGGCATCGAGCAGAAAAAGTAAGAACCATCTAAATATGATGTAATAATTAATGGAACAGACGCGCATACAATTTTAATGGAAGGATGCACCATTACGTTAATATACCTTCACTATTTTGATGGTCCACAGTGCATAAAAAACGCTTGCGTAGCAAACATTAGAAGAGCAAAGCCTCCCCATAAGATGCTCCGCAAAGCATACAGCAATAATCTTAAAACATTGGCTGCAAGTAATTGATTCGGACACGTGATGACATTTACAAGTGACGTGACCGTGCGATTTATATTAAAGTTTGTGGTTCGTTAAAAACAACAAAGCAAGAAATAGAGTACCGGTATACAATAATTTCGGATGAGGGTAAAACAAATTTTGATTAACAAAACCAAAATCTTCCAGGCACATTAAAAAATTTAATCACAAGGTCCTTAAATATTCCAATAGGAGGCAGCTGCGCGAGGACATGTAAGGTTTGGGCGCTACGGAAAAAGTCGCCAACTTCAATTCGTGTTACAATGCAAGCAACAGCTTTTGAATTATAAATTGCACTTGTCAAAATATCAAGATTAAATTAAATATTAATTGTTCAAATCAGCTCAAACCTCCACTCCTACATGTGAGCAAGATTAAAGCATGTGCGGTACAGAGAGTATGGATGTTAGAAGTAAAGAGGGACAAGAACAGTAACAAATATGGATGCCAGACAAGTGCGTGCCTAAAGTAATCAGCGCAAATGAAGGTGATGCTCGTATCGAACAGTGCTCTTCAGAGCTAACATCTCGAGACACTTTAGTGAGAGAACACAGCTAACCTTGACTAATATACATTCATCGGAAGAATCGGTCATCAAAGTTGAACTGCCATTAATTTTACTTCAAGAATAAATTAATAATCAGAGATGGCAGTCCCACAAATAAGATGAATACTAATTTTTAATGTACTTTAAATCTTACTAAGGCTTTTTGACCGCTTTATTTACTTCACACTCACAGCCGTGAAGCTGATTACATTATTATTGAATTTATTTCATCCGTAAAAAAATTAGGCAGACATAAAAATCAATAACTGTAGCAGTTGCCAGGTCCCAAGAAATAGTGCCGGTTTATTGTAGTAGACCGTAACTAATGAGAGTCCACAGCCTGTCAAGAGATGCCTGATATACACATTAAGATCAAGAATCTCTTTGAAGTAAACAAGGCATCTACGTTTCAATAAAGATACGCGAGAATTTGAATAGCAATTAATATATTTAGTGAGTAGTTCAGTAACACAAGTCAGGTACAGGAGCGAATTCAAGTTGTGCTCGCTAACTCATGTTCACGTCTGGGTCTGGAGGTTGGCCACTTTGTGGGTCGAAAGAGCCCGGACAAGGGAAAGATGACAACAAGGAACCTTGATCATTGTTGGGACAATAAGAGGAGGCTGAAGAGGTACACACGGCATCAGAAACTGCAGGGAAATTCATCAAAGGGGTTGATGCGCCACCATCTCCAACACTGGAGAATGGGAGAGGAGCACTCATAAATGAGAGCCTAGGAATCGTGGCAAAATCTCTGTTAGGACTGAAGGGATTCAGAGAGGAGCAGGAAGTGGCGGCGGCTGCTGCAGCATGTGCGGGAGACGGGGGTGGCGCTACAGGAGGAGATGAGCCGAGCTCTTTGAGGTTCATCATTTGCTGCATGAGAGCCAAAGTCCCACCATCATCCACTTGCAGTATCACCCAAATTGTGTCTGTAGAAAGTAAATTGTGGCAGTCATAACGAATAGATGCAGCAGTCTGATCATGGCACAAACGTGTTATTAATCCTTCCCTAAGCAAAAAAATCCAAGGGAGGATACTGATTTTGACTTACCACCAAAGAAGTGTCCCTGATGTGTAGTCATTCTCCACTTGCTGGAGTAGAGGCCTTTGTTTGGAGGAGCCACCATCTTCATGGAGACCTCAAGACTGGTGTGTGGCGGTAGACACAGTAATGGATCACTGGCCTCTGCGGCTCCCAAGCGATCACCACCAGTGTGCAGTAGGCGGCAACCCATCGGCCATGGGTCATTCCCACTGTTCTCTACTCGCCACGTTTTCACAAAACTGTGCAAATTATCAAGAGAATTTCACTGTTACAGTTAGTAGGTCATACATACTTTCAGAGTAATTTTTTAACCATAGATATTTAATTATTTACTAAGATCTAATTTCCACCAGCAGGATAATAAAGTATAATTTTACCTTCTGCAGCTAAATAAAGGATTAGAAACCTAGTTTACTTATTGCTTAGGCACAATACCTGCATGAAAAAAACAGATATTTAATTTCATTTCTATACATACAAATATAAATGATATATATAAATGAAATGGTATCATAAACAGTTAAAAACTTTTAATACCTGGTGCTTGGAGGTACACTTTCCCCTTCTCCAATAGTAACATCTTGCAAGAACGTCATTTGAGGGAGCCTTGTTGATGACTGTAGGTCAAAGTAAGCACATATGGCTGCTTGCAAATTCCTGTCAAAAAACAAATTTGCATTCATAGCAATTCTTCATAGAAGAAATTTGTGTCAAATTAAAACCATCAACATTCTCATGTTTTCAAGATCACTAGCTCTATGGAATTATAAGAATTTGAATACAAGTTAAAAAAATTTTTGTAGCAACAATGGTAGAGAACAAATGAGTGAGAAAAAAAAGAAGGAAAATATAACTCAAACCTGAACAATGGACTTGTTATACATAAATTCTTTATAATTCTAAATCATGATCAATTAATTTCTTGTTCAAATTTTTTATTTGAGCCAGAAATTTGTTTGTTATTTAATTAATCAATTTTTAATATAATCAGTTAATTTATTATTCTTAATTTTATAAAGCAACTTACCAATCAGCCATATCAAGGTAAAAACGTGCTGATTGCTCAGTCAATTCCGAACTTTTGCCCAGCAATCCTTGAAGTTCTTTAACCAGAACCTCTTTGTCAGATGTGTTGAGACAATTGAACTGACGCAGTAAGTCAGCTTCTACCTCGTCATCAACCTCCATTTCTAAAATTTAAAGCCTTTACTAAGTAACAATTAAAATATTTCCAGTCTGAAGATGGATAACATGACTATAAGAAATTAACTAAGCAGGAAATATGCAGAATAAGTTGTGGAAAGAATACCCATTTAGGTACTTTATCATCTGTTAATTTAAATATTCATCATTCAGTTATAAATCATTAAATGGAATATAATTCTAAGAGGTTCTTCAACACTCTATGCATATTACAATTACAGCATCTTGTAAGTCACAAACCACCCTAGACCAAGGTTGATTGAAGGATCTTAGTAACAAGTGAAGTCTGAAGAGTATCTGTTGGTTTATAGACCATATTGTCAGGGAATATTAATAAATTCTTAAATAAATTCAATGTAATGTGTAATATATTCTCTCAGCTGCAACAGGGTTTTTGGAGTTATGAATTATTGTATTTTTGTGCCATGTGACTGTGACGACACAATATTTTACAGAAAAGTATGATTTTTTTAATCCAGGCAACACTAGAATTTCTCTACCTGTGGGTTGAACACAACTGCAAAGGGATAAACATGACAGCACAAGATGAACGCAACTATGTGAAGCAAACATGACCAAGTAAGACAAATACAACCCTGTGAGACAAATGCAACCATGTAAGAGAAATACCACCATGTGAGAAGTGTTTTTGTAGCTAGTATACCACAGGCATGGAATTTATCTACTTGGTGAGCGTTAGCCACAACTGGATTTTTCAAGCCATGATTTTATGGGTTTGCCAGCCATGATTCCATTTCTTTGAGCTGTGAATTCCATATCTTGGCCATGAAGAGCCATTTACCAGCCACAAACTTATTTACAAGTCCTGTACAAATTACCCCAAATCTCTAATTTTATAATATAAATGGCAACAGTAATATTTATCTATACTTTAGTGGCAACTGAACACATGATAGGGTAAACGCGGTATATTCCGACATCGTAGGTAATTCCGTCACCTCTCCAGCTTTTATGGACAAAGAAGACGAAAATGTTACCCGTTGCAGTGCAACGGGTAACATTTTCGTCTTCTTTACCCGTTGCAGTGCAACGGGTAAGTATCCGATTTTTCGCCGATTTCGCAGATTTTAGGCATTTTTAGCGCAATTTTTGAGTCGGAAAAAAATCGGTTTTCCGATGCCGACCGCCAAAAATTGATTTCAGATTCGTAATCTACACCCCAAAAAACATATAATTAAAAAAAAAACACCATTTTTTTTGGATGTAGTTAATCTGCAATAATACCCGCGTAGTGAAGTGTTTTGAGAGTCATGTGAAGGCAACAGAACTTACGTGACGCATATGTTTTTTTTATAGTTTTTCATTTCTCGATGCGTCCTTAATGTGTCGGAATATACCGCGTTTACCCTAATGCACTCTCACAAGTGACTGTCTCTGACTGCTCTGATGCAACTGCAACTATGAGATCTTCAACAAAATGTTTTGGGTCAACTTGTTACAATAACATTCTGCAGGATATTTTGGCTGGAGTTTTGAAGCACTGCAAATTTCAGAAGTTGAGAATTTTATAAAATGACATGTTTTCAAAGTGCAAACTGCAATTTTGTTAAGCAAACAAAAATAGGACATGACGTTACAATTTACAGCCGCATGGTTTCATATCTACTGAAATTATATAATATTAGAGCCACAAAATATAGCAGTTCTTGTTCTTGTATTCTCATAATTCAGAGTAGAATTACACAATGGACTAAAAGATGGAAAAGACAATGGCAAAAAAATTGATAGGGTGGTTTTGTTCCTAATTTGTTTTTTGACAACTGACTGATTATTATATTGATATATTTTGGAGTCAGGTCACGCAGGAGAGTTTAACTTGTTCAGTTGTTGCAAACATTGGGATTGCCATTGTGAACTGAGGTCAGGACGTCAGGTATTTTTAGAATTTTAGATCTTTCACAGCAATTCGAAATTCTACCTAAATCCTCTACCTCTAGGGTATTGGTAAAGCGTAAACGTACGTAGCCTGATAGTTGTAGGAAAAGCCGTAGTGGTAAGTGGCCAATAGAAGTGTATAGCTTCTATACAAAATTACAAGGCGTTGTTTGGTTTTGTGATTATTGGAGCTATAATGCTATTCCATGTAGCTCCAAATTGAAATTACAAGGTGCTGACGAAAGACGAGAATGTTGCAATCTTGTGTATTGTCCGCAGATGCGGAATTTTCGCGAGAAGTTATAATGAATTTTACTCATATGACTTTCGCATTTGATCACGAAGGCGAATTCAATGATAGTTTAGCTTTACCATCTGTCAAATACAATGCTACATGGAAAGACCAAAGTGTCTTCAGCTAGTGCATTAACACTTTTATTTCTATATGTCAAATCTCTCATCCGAGACACCGTTGCTCTTTGTTGGGCTTCTCAAAAACATCTCAGAATCAGAGAAGTCTTCGTAGCGTCTAGACTGAGACTCCGGCGACTAACTTGAATTTTGGTAACACTAACTAAATCATAACTTCATATTCATTTTCAGATCTTTTCTAAACACAGTAGCCACATCTCGAGCTAACATTCATTGTGTTAATCATTTAGCAAATTTTGATAGAATTTGCATCAGTGTTTATTTTGACCTAAATAAATAAGCTTATGTTTTCCTTTGATAAATTGTTGTGATATTCAAGTTTTAAAAATATTATGTGTAAGTGAATTAGATCATATATGATATATCATATATCTATGAAAATTTATATATGAAACCTGTGACGAATTATCTCGGTGTAAATTTATATTGTGTGATTTTCTAGTATTGTTATTAAGCAGTTCCCAAAACAAACCTATAGCCATTGGACGAACTGATTAAGGGTACGTGCTTATAGAATTTAAGTTCCATTAACTTAAATTTCAGTTTACGTCTGTAAAAACATAGCCATCCCCCATGACAAACTAGATGTGCACTTCTGAAGGGTTGTTTGACAGTAGGAATAATATATCACGAAGCTCTTTGAGGGAAACTTTTATTAATTTTTTGTTAATAGTCCCAAGCCGATGATACTGATAGGTATGTTCGCATCACAGCGTTTATGTATTAGGACATCGTATCTGACTTGAACTTCGTACTTATTGCTGCCAGCAAAATACTGAGCGGAAACTTGAACTACATTTACCAGAAATATGTTTAACTAATATCAATTATATCACATGAATGTGGTGAAGTTTATTTCTTTTTTGAGGTCATTATTCGAATAAATAATTAATACCCGAAAATAACTGTCACATTCCTCCATGTTAAAAGAATCTGGCATTCATTTTATCATTCCATACAAAATTATATATTGGTATAGTACGGCAGAACTTATTATTTCACATACATGCACATGCAAAGCATATTTATAATAATTATGAGTGAAAAATTGTGTTGCAACACGGATTGGTTACATGTTTACCACATAGAAGAATGATATATATTTTTAATGTGCGATGCAGCTAGAAATAGACAAATGTAAGTCATGGGACTGGTTTTATTATAAATGGTAACGGAACATTAGTGAAAAGTACGACATCGGTGTATTTGGTCACGTAATTCCGTGGTCCAGAGTTCCTGTCATCGATGTGCGCACTGCGAGACCGATGAACATGACTTTTCGTCACTGCCGCAGTTTCGTGGTATTGGTTTTTAGTCAAAGTTTTCTTGTCGCTATTTGGATTACAATGAAAAACGTAAGTAACATAACTTAACTGCATGAACATTTCATAATACAAAATTCATTCAGTCACAAAGCAAGCCGTTGAGACAGACCTGGCTGGAGGGAGGCGCTGCTAACGCAAGCTCTGTTCTCCCTTTGCCTCGGTGTCCAACTTACGCAGAATTTCATTCATCCCGCGGCACGGGTGAGTTACTGTGAATGGGTCCAGTGGAATTTAATTAAAATTAGAATAAATCATCATTAAATTATGAATGAATAGAGTAAATGAAAAATTATCACACTGAATTAACTCTTGCAGTATTAATGAGAATATAAATAAACATCTTAATAAGCATCTTAATCTAGCTATGTAGATTGATTTTTAAAGATGTCTCATGCTTTCAGATGTGACTAAATGTGTGAGTCGCTCTAGGTAAACCTTCAAGATTGTTTGTTCCATTCTTTCAGATGTGGCTACGCTGCGGACTGACGTTAAGATAGAAGAGTCCCTCGCACTTGTCGAGCTCGGGGGCAGCTACGTACCGGGCAACTGTGATCCTAGGTACGTACTTAGGGCTCGGGGGCAGCTACGTACCGGGCAACTGTGATCCTAGGTACTAAGACTAGTCTTTGAGGAGTCATTGTTTGGTCTTTTTCATTGTTTGATTTCGGGACAAAATTCATTCAGTCACAAAGCAAGCCGTTGAGCCAGGCCTGGCTGGAGGGGGGCGCTGCTAACGCAAGCTCTGTTATCTCATTGCCTCGGTGTCCAACTTACGCAGAATTTCATTCATCCCGCGACTCGGGTGAGTTACTGTGAATGGGTCCAGTGGAATTTAATTAAAATTTGAATAAATTACCATTCAACTATACAGAAATACAGAGTAATGGATCAATCGTATCAACAGTATTAATGGAATGAAAACAGTATTAACAGTAATAGTATTAATAGGGTAATAAGTCAGCCAATTAAATAGGCTAATTGACCTTTACGAGTGTTTAAGAACATTAAAATAACAATTACACTCTTAACCGAGCTATGTAGATTGATCTTTCAAGGTGTCTCCTGCTCACATATATGACTTAGGTGTTAGTCGATCTAGATTAACCTCTTAAGGTTGTTTGTTTCATGCTTTCAGATTTGACTAATCTGTGACTGTGAGTCGCTCTAGATTGACCTTTCAAGGTTGTTTGTTCCATGCTCTCAGATGTGGCTACGCTGCGGACTAACGTTAAGATAGACGAGTCCCTCGCACTCGTCGAGCTCGGGGGCAGCTACGTACCGGGCAACTGTAATCCTAGGTACTTACTTAGGGTTCGGGGCAGATATTTTGACGTGAATGAGATCGATAACATTCAAGATTGTGAATATTCTGAATTAAGCGCAAATTTTATCAGATATTTTTCCATCAGGTTTATACATATTAATTCACATTTCAAAAATACTTAGAATACACAAATGATCAACCTTCATTGTCATTCAAGACTTACCTGTAACCAGTCCCCTGTGTCTCGCAGAGAAAGACTGGCCGTGCTTGTGCCGCTGCGAGGACGGGCTGACGCTCTGCCAGGCTTCCTGGCGCACCTTCACTTCTTTCTGCAGCAACAAAACAAAGCTTATACGATTGTTGTCATCGAGCAAACAGGTTAATTGGAACCTTATACGGTTGTTATCATCGAGCAAACAGGTTAATTGGGACCTTATACGATTGTTGTCATCGAGCAAACAGGTTAATTGGAACCTTGTACGATTGTTGTCATCGAGCAAACAGGTTAATTGGAACCTTGTACGATTGTTGTCATCGAGCAAACAGGTTAATTGGAACCTTGTACGATTGTTGTCATCGAGCAAACAGGTTAATTGGAACCTTGTACGATTGTTGTCATCGAGCAAACAGGTTAATTGGAACCTTGTACGATTGTTGTCATCGAGCAAACAGCTTAATTGGAACCTTATACGATTGTTGTCATCGAACAGACAGGTTAATTGGAACCTTATACGATTGTTGTCATCGAACAGACAGGTTAATTGGAATTGACTTTATGCGCCAGAAGGTCAAAATAATCTGTGAAGTGTATGACTAGAGGTGCAACGTTGCGAGAGTAGCAGTTATTCTTACTTCTAAATCATTGTATTTCAAAAAATAAAATATAATAAAATAAATTTAATATTCATTTTAGAATTAAGGCAATTTAAAACACAAACATGACCTGACATTGCGCACACGTATGTTCTGTGTATGAAATATACTAAACCAGGGTAAAAATTAACGATCGTAAATGGATCAACAAAACCGAAATGTATTTCGATCCTCACAATGTGCCGCTTCGTTTGGGTATTATTTTTTTAAGTTGTTCTAAAGCCAGTCTGAGAAATTTTTTTCTCTAAAATTCATACACATATTTATCAAATAACATATATTTTCAAAGTCACTACACTCAAATTGCTTCGAATTGCAATGAATCAACTTGGTAACAAGTAGTCTGCTGGGCAGGGTGGCCCAGTGGTTACAGTTCAGAGTACCAAGATTGGAGCAGAGAGGCGCGGGTTCGATCCCAGCTCTGTGCGCCAGTTTCTGGTCAGAATCGGCGAGGAGGCCGGGCGGTTAAGCACAGCAGAATTGTAGCAGTGAGTTGTGAGTACGAGACCGCAACAAGCTGTGAATATTCTGCGATTTTAAGAATCGGCGACAGGCTTACGGCCTGATAAACGCTTAAACCGCTATTATTATTAATATTATTATTGTTATATTTCCCTGCAGCTAACGCTCCGTTCAATAGAGCGTCTCTGCTAAATGTGGGAGCTATAGAGACGATGCGTAGAGTTGCTGCAGTGAACTGCTTGGTTCTGCACGACGTCGACGTGCTCCCTTTGAACCTCCTGAACGACTACAGCTGCGCTCCTGGGGCCGTCCGACAGCTCCTTCGATCACGCAGTGATCGCAATTTCACGTAAGGGTAAAATTTAAATTGGTTTCCCATGAAAAACTTTTGCTGGCTTTTCATCAATGCTGAGTTTCAAATTTCATCATTTAATGGTGGCTGTTTATCATTTAATCATTAATTTATCATTAATCTGTGATATGTTTATCATTAATCATCATTTAATGATAGAGTGGCTGTTGCAACGATTTTTATTGTTTATTTTGTGTCGTAATAGCATAAAGCATTCCGATTGCTGTTGATATTTGCTCATGTTTATTGCATGCATAAATAACTAATTGTACAGGTATTCCAGTGAATAATTTATTAACAACGCTGAACTGAACAACGCCGTTTGATTATCAACGGTTAGCTAATGAAGACGGTAGATAATTGCAGATGAAATCGATAGATAACTGTAGATGAATTTGAGTGATAATTGGAGATGAACTCGATAGCTAATTGTAGATGAAGATGATTGATAATTGCAGATGAAGTTGATTGATAATTGTAGATGAACTTGATTGATAATTGTAGATGAACTCAATAGATAATTGTAGATGAAGTCGATAGATAATTGTAAATGAAGTTGATAGCTAATTGTAAATGAACCTGATAGATAACTGTAGATGAAGTTGATTGATAATTGTAAATGAAGTTGATTGATAATCGCAGATGAAGTTGATAGATAATTGTAAATGAAGTCGATAGATTATAATTGTACCCCCTAAAATATAAGCAGCCCTTTCTACGGGCGTTTCATGGGCGGCGTGGTGTCGCTGACGCCGCGCAGCATGTCGCTGGTGAACGGCTTGAGCAACGCTTACTGGGGCTGGGGCGGCGAAGACGACGACTTCGAGCGTCGGGTGCTGCGCGCGGGACTGCGGCACTTGCTCGTGCCCAGCCGCGTCGCCCGCTACCTTCATTTTATATTATATTATATTATATTATATTATATTATATTTTATTATATTATTATATTTATATTATTATAATGAGAGAAGGCACTGTAACTTTGATGGAGTATAACACTGCTGCTACTGAACACTTCAGTGTGGTGGTGCTCTTTTATAAATACCTTTCACTGAGCTTTTCATAGGGCAATTCAATTCCCAATCAATATGGTATTGATTCAGTGCGGTAGTGCTATATACTTTGGCATGGTTAAAAATCAAGTAATTAAGTAAGAGCTGCAAAGAAATTCATACTCAATAGAGTTAGAATGAATTAATTTCGAAATTCATTGGAAACTGGAAATGCTTCATTGTCAAATGTAAGAAAATCACTGCATAGCCTCAGATATGCGTGTTAATTTATGGTTGAGAAATATTTATGTTAATAGAATGTTTAAATCAGAATTGATTTCATATCAATAATTTAGGTATTTTAAACAGATATAAATAATTAGTCACTTGATTAAAAAAGGCCTGTAAATGAATGGGACTTATACGACTGTATTTATAAAAGTATTTATAATCGACGGTTTACTTTCTAGATTCGAACTGGTGACTAAACAGAGAGGCCGCATGGACGATGGACTGTCGAGCGTGCGCTACACGTTGCTGCGGTGCACGAGGTTGCCCACGTACACGCTTCTGCTCGTTGAGCTGCACCAGCAGGAGCCCTACCAGGCTCCCCGTGGGGCATCACCTGAAGAACCACTAGCGTGTGATTGAAACATGAGCTGCACCAGCAGGAGCCCTACCAGGCTCCCCGTGGGGCATCACCTGAAGCACCACTAGCGTGTGATTAAAAAGCCACTAAATTTGTTATTCTATCAGTTTTAACGCGTTGACTACGATTGCTTCATCTTGTACCTACTATTATTTCATTTTTTGTACTTTTTTCAAGCAGGGTTGCCAGACGGTCATTTTTTCCGGAAAAATTCCGTGATTTAGTTTTTCTCAATTGCGTAAGCCGGCTAAAATTTATAATAGGGGTACTTCCTAATTAAATTTTAAATACTGCAAAAAGAAAATAAATGGAATTTTTATAGCGGAAGCTACAAATAAACTAGTATACATTGAATTATCGGCCTTTTTTGTTCTCGGATTTGGCCGATTTTAGGCAACCTTAATTATGTGCCACTAACTCCTGGAGAAATACATTTCGTGGTACGCATATGTATCAATACGTAGTCAACGTGTTAAAAACAGAAGCGAATTTTTTTCAAGTCAAATTGAGAGGTTGTGGAAGTTAGTTACTAGGTGAATGCTTTTGTTGTTTAGAGCTCCCATTAGAAACGTCAGGCTGAAAGCTCAAGGTCAAGGTTTCTCACATTTTGCTAATCGTATTAAAAATCTCACAAGGTTACGATTGTAATCAAGTTTGCATGAATATTTGTGGAAAAATCTATAGCTTATTTTCCTAGTATTTTAATCATTTTTATGGTAACAATTTTGTTTCACGAACTACAACTTTCCTCACAAGTTCATTAGCTATAATCAGAAACGAATTCTGAGTAGAATATGCTTTTCTAGAGCTTGTAAAAAGATTTTTCATTTACGCAGGTTATACATCAAAACATGTATCGAAGGTTCTTCAGTAGAATTGCACGTATATTTGTTAGATTCCTAAATATTACCTTCATTAATGTTATAGAATATGTTTAAATAACAGAAGACGTTGCATAATTATGGCTTTTACAAGTTCAACATATCAAGTTTAATCAGGTACCTAGTGAATTTGTATTGACCCTGGGCTTCCGCATTACTGGTCATCAGCCGTCATAAGAGTGCGATGAAGAATGACAATGAACGATCCCGTTAGTTAATAACTGATTAAACGGTGTCAAAAGATAGCAATAAATTTATTATTTGGTAGTGAGTCGCTAAGGCAGCTAAGGGAAGAAATTATGTTTTGATAACATGTCATTTAATGAGTTCAACCAGCCGTATTATTATCTTCACTATTCCGCTGTGTACTTCCCCTTCCTGGACCGACTTTTTGCCGGTCGCGACACTAGGAAATGATTGCAGAAATTTTTCGATTAAAATGTCTCCCGTTGATTTTCTTTCGCATTCCTGAAATTAGGGGCAATGATATAAAAAATTGTAGGTATGCAATGCGGAAGCTTTATTAGGAAGTTTAGTCTAATTCAGTCGTGAACTTCATCACCAGACATTTTGGACCGTTTCCAGTAATTTTGCTAATACATTTGAAGAACTAAATTCTCAAACATATGACGAGCAAGAAAATATTTGTAGGCTATAACGATTGGTACAGATGCTTGTATAAAGTGTGTAAAATAAAGCCCACAAAAAATAACTTTAGATAATATTAATTTTTTATTGATATTTTCAAACTTACGCATTAGTCAGTCCGTAAGATGGCAAGTATATGTAATGAATGGGTCAGACAATGTTATTTTACAATCTTCCACAAGAAGCTTGTATAATGAATTCAAAATTCAAACATTAACATTATTTGCAACATGTTCCTAGTTTTCTAATCATTACTATTATTACGTACCAATGTTAATAATATAATGTTAATAGTAATGTTATTACAGTAAGGTTATTAAATTGTATCTTGCAGCTTCGTTTCAGTACCAGAAGTTTAAATTTTGGGCGAAGCCGAAGGTGCCTTGCTTCAGCTGTTACGTCGAAACAAAGAAAATGAGAGTATCGATGTGTGCATATTGTCTCAAAGATATTCAGAGCCCAATAAATGCATTCATCGCTGTTTTGGTATCAATATATTTGTATTTCATGCAGAAATATTAATTAAAATTTCAGTACCGAGTTGTAATGTCTGTGTCACAATACACTTGAGGAATGAATGATCGCGGAAGAAGGGGTTAAGATTGAATATAGAAGTTACAAATGGCCGTCCCTAACCTAATTAATTAGTGTAAATATGTATTATGTAGGTTGGGGTAAAGAAGATGAAGGGTTAATATGTTTATTGATGGATGGAATTATCGGTGATGACACCGATAAACACCTGTATAGCCTTATAGGTGATGGTCGGTAGAATAAAGACATGACATGGCAATCACATGACAAACTAGCATAAAACCACATCGAAAGAATATTGAGAGCACGCGGCAATTCAGTTTTTACAGTTGCAGAAATTAGACGCATGTTGTTCATGCTTGAAAACTGATATTTTTTATTAATATTTTTCAATGGAAAATAGCGAACATTAAAGTAAATAGTTGAATTTTAGCCAATAAGGTTACATGAAACTATAAAAAATGATCTTCAACGAGCTAGGGAATTTAATAAAAACAATTATGACGTTTACAAGAAATGATAGTGCGATTTATGAATTCGAGTCCCAACACAGTATTGGAATACAGAATACCATGCACTCCCTCTTAAAGTGCACAAACAAAGTCAACTAATGTGAAGATTGTAATACTCAAAGCACTCCATACAAAAAAAAAAAAAACAGAGCTTCCTGTACTTGCGACTGCTCGCGAGACAGAAAGTCGTGGCAACGTGGTGCCCGTAGGGCACAGAGAGCGGTTATGGCTGGTGACTTCCCGCAGCTGCTCGCAGTGGTTATGTTCACTGACTAAACTTCATGCGACTAAGGCCGACTATCCAAGTGCAGTGTGCAGCGGATCACTGTGGAGTGAGGACATAGCAAATCGATTTGCAGCTCTGTGCTCGAGCCTTGTGAGCGTGTGCACCGAGAGTCGTTTTCACTGCCATTTTAATTTGTAGTATCCTTAGTGATTGAAAACTCTTGGTCGACACTGTATAGAGTCCTTCTTACAACGGTTCAGTAAGCGTTGTGATCATTTGTCAAGTTGTCCATCCAGGCTCCAGCTGCAGTGACTGCTTTTAATCTAACATCAGTGTCTTTGTAGTGCCTGATTTGTGTCTAAATTCAGGAGATAGTGTGGTGCACGAACGAATTCCATCGAAGTTCTTATTTACTCAAAAAAGTCCAAATTATTATCGATGTGACATGAAAACAAACTTCTTAGGTCACGTGTAACTAGTAAGTAATGGAATGCAGCCTTGCAGGCAGCAGATGGATAGGCTAAACGGTGGATTGGCGCAAATATTTCTGTGGCATTACCTAATTTTAATAATGTTGGTAATTTCCAATTTTAGGTAATTGGTAAATGTTATTGGAACGTTTTTGTGCATGCACTATAAATTAACAACGATCGATTGGATTAGCAACGACGCCAACGTCCCAACGAACTCAGGCATATTACGAATAAGCTACGGCAGTCGGCACTACAATGAACAGCTAATGTGACTGTTGAGAATAGCCTTGACGCGCATACGGAAGGCCAATTATACCACAATTACCTAGCCAATTACCCCACGATATGATTTGACGGAATTTATAGAAGATTGGTTAACCCGCATTCTACCTACGACACTGTACCTCTCAACACTACGTTTTTTGTAATAAATTACTACTACGGGGCCGGGAAGGTTATAGTAGCAGAAAATAGGATTTAAAGACATTTTGAAGTTTAAAAGAATTTGAAGTCGTTGCTGTAGCCACTTTCTATAGACTAAATAGTGCCAGATGTAATATAGTAATCTTGGCGTTGATTGTTGTGTAGCGTACTTACGGTGACTGTACCGGCCTTTAAAACAGTATTTCCATAAACATTTTGAGATCGTATTTAAAGTTTTGATTGATTCTCATGAAGTCGTTGTGTCTTGTATATTGCATTATATCTGGTTTGGCAAGCTGATTATAATTAGCGAATATTTGAGAAATTTGAGAGTCGTGTTTCGATATTACGATGAGCTGCCAAAGCCGGACGTGTGTCATGCAGCTAGAGCTGTGAATGGTTCCTGGTTCATCTTGTTTCAGAAATAAAACATTTTTGCGTAGTATTAAATAGTTCACGCAAGTTCGTTCATGACCTAGAAATTTTTAGCTCACCACTGGGAAGGCCTTCGCTTACTCGCACTATAATAATTGTGAGCCATTGTTCTCCAGCTTTCCTAAATCCTAATGCTTGCTTATCGGGGGTAATTATCAAGGAAATTACAGATTTTTTAAAGTTTACACCAAATCAGGTCGGTATAAAATGGGTTGTAAAGATTTTCGAAAACCGTATTTAACAGTGAAACGGAAATGAACTAAAAAAAATATGTAGAGGTGGCTGTTATGTTTTAAGTTCGTTCCGCTTACTCAGCAGTTACAAGTATTAGGTAATTTAGGTCTCACTTTCGAATTGCATGCTTTGAACGGCGTATCAGTGTTAACGATGTCATTGGACTTGTACAGCGAATTAATGCCTGTCGACACCTTTATTACGACGCTGAAAATGACAGTAGTTGAGCCAAATTACATTCTTCCGGTGCTGGACGGAAGAATGTTCCACCCAAGTTATCCGTCAATGTTAGCCGTTAACAGCAATCGGGAAGTAAAACTCTGCCGCCATTTATGTACATGGAAGTATTTTTTTGCGCCTCTAATTTTGCTTAGATTTTTAGAATTCTTTATGATAAAAGCTCGTACATGTGTTTTCAGTTGTGGTTACTCCTAGCTGCGTGAACGCCGCGTCTACGAATAGGGGAAGTGCCAGCCACGCTAAGCGCATGAACATAGGAGCCGGCTGCTCTGAACGCACTACGCCGAGGCTCGTTTTATGAAAGTAATAAGTTAAGACGTGCTTTCACTTTCAATTTGATGGTCCTATATACACGTTTTATTCTCAAAGTTAATCCCCTGTTGCATGCTCAGTCTC